TCCTACAATGAATACACAACCAATAAATGATTGCACAAATTGAGAGGGACACCTACATAATCTGTTTAATACCTGAAGTTTTGTGACCATTCACTTTCCCCAGCTAATTTGTCTCAAATCTTTTATGCTGTTTCACTTCACTATGGCAGCTGTGGAAAATGAGTGGGATTGAAATGGATCCCAACTGTTTGTGAGGGAGCGTGTGACAGCACAGTTGTTCACCAAAGTGGTTCATACCTTTAGATATTTTCTCGTCATTCTGTTCAGAAGTGTTATTACATACTTCTAGAGCAGGTCCCCGTCTCAGTTAAAAGATGCTGCCACTGTGCCCCAAGAGTCTTCAGAAATGTGCTGCAGATATTTCTAATCAACCTGTTCAGAGACGCTGTTACACACCTCTGGAACAAACGAATGTAATAGTTTTAGTTCTGAATCTAATGCAATATGCAGGATTCAGAATCATACTTGGTGCCGGGTAGTGGCAATATGTTTCACTCAAACATTGAAGAACTAATCTGTTACTGTCTTAATTATAATTTTTAATCATCGTTTTCCAATCTCTTTATGTCTTAGACCATTTTTCCTACCTTATCTTTTAGTCCTACAACTCTCCAAGTTCCCTGCTCTTCCCTGGCCTTGTGGGAATCTCAAATTCTGATCCTGACGCAATTGCCAGCCCAGTGGTTTTCTTGCTAAGTGCCTTGGGATGTTTTATTATGGTAAAAGCACAATATAAATGTAAACTGTGATTGTAAGGTCCACTTGCTGTACTTCACGTTTTTAGTAAGAAATGCAATATGGAGAAGGAAAGCAAAGGAATGGTCCTATTAGGAATTGGCAGTTGTTACTGAGGTATGGGAGATTTTCATCCTGATTAAACAGAGCATATTGTTTTAGAACGCAGTAATTTGGTTTCTTTGTATAACGCCTTGTGAATTTCCAAGTGCTGTTGTGTCATTTAAGTTGTGTTTTGCAAAAGTACTGATTGCTAGTTAAATGTCAACAATTTTATTGATTTCATGTTGAACCAGTTCAACCCTTGGAGGGAGTGCATGGAGTTAAATTGAAAAAATGTGCTGGATTTTACATTTCGCACTATGAGACTTTGAAAAGTGAATTGGATAAATGTGATTTTGAACTCTTGCTTTGAGCTGTAGAGAAAAACTCGACTTTAGTCACTGATTTGCAGCGCCACAACAGTTTAGGACAGAGTGGAAGAAGCATTTGTACATTTCCACCTGTAATAAAATACAATTGAAGGGTAGCATAATTGACATATTGAACTTCCACCTCTAGACCTTAAGTTTAAATTCAGGAAAGATTAAAAAGTTCCAGTGCTGCTTTGCTTGTTGAAGGTAAATGTCCTAGTTTGAATGAGGTTGAGAACTATTTATCCATTTCCTTGCTGTCTTGGGCGATGCAGTTTGTACCTCATTGAAAAAGTTATCAGATTGCCAGTGTTGAGAAATGTAGGCTGGAGGTTGTGTTTGGTCTGAAGCAAGTTCATCGACAAAGTGAAAGGAGTTTCTTTCAGCTTCTTTGTGATGTCCCCAGCACCAAATTGACAAAAAGTTGAAGTTCTGCCTCTATCAGCATTGTATGCTTCCAGCACTGTATATGAGCCGAACAATTTTTATAAGGTGCTCTAGGTGATCCAACGAAACTTAGAACCATTTTATTTTGATTATCCCCTAAGCTATACTGATTCTAGAGAATGTTCAAGGCTACACAGTTCAGTACTTAAAAGGTTCCTCTTTATCATCAGAGTGAGCTTCTTCTTTTATTGTTTTGAGTTCTGTATATGCGGAAAACTTCCGAAACTTGTGCCTCGAGCTCCCAGTCAGCACAGCAGTGAAATCGCACTGTGAACTCCTATTTCCTGTTCTGATCACTTTTTTTGAAGTGGGTAGAAAGGCATGCAATTGCAATGTTCTTTTCCCTAAATTGTGAACAAAAGACACAATGCAATTTTTTTGTATTGAAGGTACAGAACAAGCAATTGCTTTGAATCTTGCTTGTCTTTTCAGTTTGAATTTAGAATGATGAAGGGGACTTCTAGTGTAACCAGGTTTCATTATCATTTGTAAATGAAAGTTGGGCTTAGAATGTCTCTTCTCCTGTTGGTAAAAGGCACTTGCAGCGTAAAGTTTCCACCTGCCTGATGAAAGCCTCTGTATAAACAGATTCAATCTAATACTAAGAAAGCCTGTTCAGTATATTTACATTGGAAATGATCGTGCGTTAAGGAATAGAATTGAAAATTATAAATATGAAATGCACATTACTGGCTGTGACCTTACACACAATGCTTTGTAAAATGGAAATAATACATTTAAGGGGAATTTAGACAACGGCTCAGGGAAGACCAGATTAGAAGGATGTGTAGATGGAGATACTGTGGTAGGACAGGTCAGTGGAACATGGACCATTTGGGCCGAATGGTGACTTCGGGACAAACTGAAATGCTGCACAACGCACAACCAACAAAGTAGTTTTGAACTATGGTCACTGTTGTAATGTTGGAAAGACCTTGTCTTAATGTCTAATCTGAAAAACAGTATCTCCAAACATGGCAGCATTCTCTCAGTGCACCGCAGTAACCAGACTAGATTTTCTTTGTGCTGAGTTACTGATGTGGCACTTGAATCCACAGCCTGCTGACTGTGGAGATGAAAGTGCTCACAACTGAACTAGCATTTGAATTTAGGAATATTTGACAGTATTTTAAGCTTGACTGGATGGGCAAAATAAATACTCAACTTTTCACTTAGCCTACAGAGTTTACAAAATGGCTTGTGTTGCCCATTGTGCCTGCAGGAAGCTGACCATGAACCAGACTGGTGGTTTCGTGTTCTTCCTTTCCCGTTCACTGATGAAAAATTAAGCTGTGTTTCTGTTTGTAAATAATTTGGTTAACTGAAATACTAATTGAAAGGTAAAAACATCTTCAGACTCTCCTTTTTTCATCATAATTAAATACTAGTGTGCTGCTTGTGCCACTGGACTGTTGATCCATGGCTGAAATGGATTGTACTCCTTCACAACATTTCTGTCTCAAAGTTGTCATCACCACATGTTGTCTGCTGCAGTATCACTGTATCTTTTGATTGAGACTGAGGTGGATGCACATGCAAAATAAAAAAAATCATTATTTTATTGCATCACAAGTAGGTTGGACACTACCAATCTCAATGACCAATCTCAATGCAGCAAAAGCAGTTTCCCCAGAAACATTGAATGGTGTTATTGGCCTGCAGCTGTGCATTTCTGACAAAGCAAAGAAGGGCACACAGCATTAAACATTGAAGCTCATTATTTTGAGTTTGACAGGTTTGGTTTTGGATTTATGAATGTTTGCACAAGTTGTTGCATCATCGACTCAAACTTGGCGAATACCTCCCTCACCTGAAATTCGCTGGCAGTCAGTGGTGCAGAACCCTGACAGGCATTGAACAATGTAAATTATTCCAATTCGCTGATGGATTGCAAAAAAGTAACACTAGCTAATAATCTGCCCAAAAGTGCTTTTTTTTTTAAACCATGAATATCTACATTATCATGGAGGTTAATTAACTCAGTTTGTTAGAGTATGATGACTACAGGCTGTGGTAGTTTACTGAAGCCTGCCTTCTCTCCATGCCCCATGGTTGCAGAGTGGTCGCCGAAGCTATGTAAAACAGATTCTGTCTCTCTAATGAGAGAAATGTCTCGAGTACTTTGGCTGAATCCTACTCATTTTAAAAGTAATGGCAGAAACCACATTTTATGTATGTGATGCTTTGAATTTGTGCTTTTTTTTTTAAAAAGGCACATGATGCTAAAATGATTCAGGATATTGAATTTGTTTTGACAACAAAAAACAACTTTGTGCATAGTACCTCATGGAGTTGCTGGTAATACAGGAGACAAATGGCAATGTTGCAAGAAAATCATTATGCAGCTTTCAAAACTGATAAGTACTACAAACTGCATGCGCTTCTGTTATAAACATTGCTTTGCCAGATCTGCAGTGATTATGGGTCTGTTCAATGTGGAGATAACTATAGCTTATTCCTCCCTCCGGACCAGGAGGCCTGGGTTAAGGTACCATCTGCTCCAAAATGTGTAATAGCATTTCTGAACATGTTGATTAAAAGCATCGACAGTATCTTCTTTAAAGGTAGTTCACCATTGTACTGTATCTGTCTGTTACGTGTTATTTTGCTTGTGAAAAGAAATGAAGTAATGTTGTAGCAGCATTAACAGTTCCATACTATTTCGCCTGTTCAGTTGCATAGCAGCTTATGTGTGTTATATTTGAATAAAGCTTCCAATAATTGCTGCCACAGTGAACTGGAAACCTGCAAGTACACACATCATTTCAGCAACAGATTGAAGTTTATTTGAGGACTTTGAAAAATAATTTAATGGAAATAGTCTGGAAAAGTAATGAGAAGTTGAATCATCATATACAATATAATATGCAAATAGGTTCTAAAAGAAGTTGAGTCTTGCATCCAAAACTATCCTATAGCAGTTTAAACTGCTAGACTTGTAAAAATTATACAAGTAGATGGGTAATTTCTAAATTGCAATCCAATTATAACTAAGATTCCAGTATCAGTATTAATTTTGAATTTTAAACAGTCAGATGATGTGCTAATGCATGTTAACTGTTGGCATTCTGGTAGATTTGAGATCAGATTGACAAACAGCCTTTCTTTGTTCATGATAAAGAGCTTCAGTATTTATAACTACACAGCTTTCTGAATTCGATTTTGAAAAAAAATACTGAAGTGAGGTTGTCTGTTGCTTGTTTTAGGATATTGGATGCTGCTTTATGTATCACTTAAACTGGGCCTAATTTGATAACATTAATTGAGTTATAATGCCATGAATGAGGTGTAATATTTTTGTGGCACAAGCCCCGTGAATGTAAGAACGTTGTATTAATTAATCACAAGACAATATTTTCCTATTAATGATTTTCTCTCTCCTTTATTTTCCTAATCCCTTTAAAGCAAATGGTTATGAGCCTTAGAGTGTCGGAGCTCCAAGTGTTACTGGGCTATGCGGGACGGAACAAACACGGTCGTAAACACGAACTCCTGACAAAGGCACTGCATTTGTTGAAAGCTGGCTGCAGCCCAGCTGTTCAGATGAAAATTAAGGAACTATATAGGCGGAGATTCCCACAGAAGATTGTGACACCCGCTGACCTGACCCTTTCTTCTGTCCATACAACTTCAACTTCCATGACTACACCATTGTCGCCAGCTGCTATCCCACAGCTCCCCTATGATGGGCATGCAACAACATCTCCACTGCTTGCTGTTTCTCTGTTGGGACCTAAACACGAACTAGACCTGCCACATCTGACATCATCGCTCCATCCTGTCCATCCGGATGTAAAACTGCAGAAATTGCCCTTTTATGACATTCTTGATGAACTGATAAAACCAACTAGTCTAGGTAAGAAACAAGTGCCCAAAATAGTTTTGTGGTGTTGCCATGTCTACAGTATTTGAGGTGAACATAAGAAACCCAGTTCAATAAACCAATGTTATTTTGTTTAAGAATACTTTATAAGTTTGCATCAACTTGAGTCATGGTTTGTTTTCAGTAGCTGAAATGATATTTCTTGAAACCATGACAGATTATTTTAAGATATAAATAGTTGGATGATTCGTAATTTTTCTTTTTAATTTTTAAAATTTTTCCATTGTTATCTGTTAAAGAAAATGATACATTTAATTCTACGTCCATACTTGTATGTTCGTACATGAGCAGTGACCAATTTTGGACCTATTTGAATGTTACATTTTCTTTTATCATACGAATTATACATTGAATTGAATTCAGCTTTCTATTGAAGAAGCATGGAGTGCTTTTCGAACTGTCAGATTGGTCCACAACTTCCGTGTTCTTTGGATTCTGCATTGTGATTCCATGAGTGTTCTGACTGTTGTTCAAAAGAATGGAACAAATCTCAGATAGGACAATATATTAAAGTACAGCTTTCGTTGATTTTTTTTTTGGAGGCCAGTGGTTAAAGAAGTTGTTAAATGTCAGGCAATATAACACAGTGGCTTATTGTGAGAATGTTATACCCTCTTAGGTGGTTATCTTGCACTCTCACCTACACGCCTCACAAATAAAACCATCCTTGCAAGTCTCTTCTGCACTCTCTACAGTGCCTGTATTGCTTCTTATAAAATATTGGCTAGCAACTCATTTGTGGTCTAGCCAAGGCTCAATGCACTTTAGTACAACTTCTCTAGATTTCATTCTTGAAATACTGTCCATTATTGGCTTATGTAACTTGCAGCAATTTGAGTATTTATAGTCTAGAACCATTTGCTCTTTGCCTTATTTATATACTTGTTTTGTAATTTTGACAGTGACTTGCTGTTGAAGATCTTTGTCTAACGTTCATCAAGACAGACACAAAGATGCCACATTTCAAAAGAGCACCAATTTCTGCTACATGAGGGAAAGTTTTGAGGTTGTTTGGCTCGCCGAGCTGGTTTCTTGTTTCGCAGACGTTTCATTACCATGCTTGGTAAAATCCTCAGTGCAGCCTCCGACAGGCACGAGAATTCTTACAAGCATGGCACTCCACGAAGCATGCTATTAATAAACACATTGATCTCGACCCCATATACATTCCACAGGGAAGGAAAACCGCAAGTGAAGCAATCCATTTCAACGGACCCCAGAGTTTAAAAACCAGGCGGGAAAACACACCGAAGCTTCATCGGAGGCTGCACTGAGGATGTTACCAAGCATGGTAACGAAACGTCTGCAAAACAAGAAACCAGCTCAGCGAGCCAACCAACCTCATCACCCACAACCCGAGCTACAAATCTACTCCAAAACCTTAGAGGGAAAGTTTGGTTGCTGGATGGAATCTGATTTATTAAGGTGTTGCTACTGAAGATGCACCAGGGAATTATTGTCCCAATGCTTTTTTTTAAAACATAAAAAGGTGCAATTTCTGGGCATGTTTCTTTTACTATGCCAGAGGATAGATCCCTCCATATGAAAATATATAACTTCTATCAAGGATATCTTCTGGGTTGACTGAATGGTGACCTCTTCTCAATTAGTTTTCACATACTAGAATGTACATTATATTGGTGTCACAGTTGTTATTTTCCATATTTACTGTGAATGAAACTATGAAGCTAAATGTTGACATTTTCAGAGACACATTTATTCACATTAGCATACTTTCTCTTGTTTCCTTCCTTGCCCCCATCCCTAGTCAGAAATTCTCTCAGTAGTTTTCTGGGAGTTGAAGTTCCTGTTTTTAAAACTTGGCTCTGCCCTTTATCTTTTTTTTTCCACAATAGTTGAGTCTTGATCAACAGAGTCGTTTAACGTTGCTGTCTTTTTCTGTGGAGGAATGTAAATTATCCAAGTTGTACGTATAGTCATTTGTGACTTTTCACTGCAGTTTAGGAGTTCAGCTCCCTGCTATCTGTGTTGAGCTGTAATGTCTGTGACATCTCAAAGTTTGCTAGAATGAGTACTTTGGTGGGCATGTTTACATTTTTTCAAACTATGTAAACCTTTTGCATTAATCTACTAACTTGTTGGAAAATTCTTGTATTAAAGTCATTGGTCTTGTAATGCAGCGTTAGTTGTTTGTATCATTTGTTTCTTGGTTAGCAGGCATTTTCATTTTGTTTCATAAAATACAATATTTTTCTCACCCCAGTTTTTTTTTTTTAAAAGTTTTTCCAAAATAAATTTTCAGTTTTATAATCTAAGCTACACTCGGGAACTGAGGCAAATAAAGAGCCCCCTTGCTGCATTTTATTAGTTGGCAGTCAGAATTTGAGAGAGTGCAGAAGTCACAAGTGCACTTCAAGGACTTTGTACTCTGCTATCAGGAGTGCCATGTTTGCAATGATCTTAAGAGTTAAGATACTAAACGCCCAAGTTATTTATGGCGAATGGGTAGATTACGAAGTATGTTGCTATCAGCAGTAACCTGAAACTCTGTCTCCATGTTTCAGCATGGAACCCTGCTAGCAAGTTTACTGGAAATACATGCCACTTGAAGAAATCACTATAACACTTTCAACAACGAGCTGTCAAAAGGCTTTTGGGTTCTTGCAGGGGATCTTTATAAAAGGCTTTGTTAATATGTAAGCATAACTTAAATATGTTTTTTAAAAGGAAAGGTGATTGATTACATCTTTCAAGTTAGAAATGTAGTTTTGGGCCTGAACAAAATGTTTATGCAGTTTTTTTTCCATAGACAAGGTTCGTTCCCATTTTGCAACCAAGTCAATATTTCCTTTTTCTACAAATGCTGACATATTGAGTGTTAGGACAAGTGGATACTGGCTTTCTTTGGGTACCTAAAGATGGCTATTTTTCATGTGTGGTTCCATCTAGTCTTGGCAGGCTATTTGGATGAATAGGCCTACACCTGCTGCTATCCCTACACAAGCCAAACAGAATCCACATGCATGACCTTTTCAGCAGTCATTTGGTAATGAGTGTATAAAAGGGAGGGGATCCTAGTGCTTTGTATTGCAATAGCTTTGCAGGTTAGAGGAGCTCTGCTGGAAAGTGAGTGTATGTGGATGTTGGCTGGACGCATTGTGGCTAGCAGTGGTGTAGTCTGCTTGTGTAGTTTGCTGACACACTCAAGTAATGCATGTGAAAAGTAATATTTGTTAAGGAAACATAGGGGCTGCTGGTATCTATGAAAGTGCATCAAGCTCGTCAGTGCCTTTTAAAAAGGCTCAGGAAAGAGGAAGGCAAGAAATTTTAAAAGTTAAATGGAGAAAATAGATTTTTTAATTTAAATCATTGATATTTGAAGCTAAATCGGCTCACAAAAACTATAATTTAATCCTCCCCATTTAAAGATTTGCATATGGTTTCCCAGCATTTGTATTTTGATTATTGTTAGTTGTCTAGGATGGGCTGTAATAAATTGGTCTCCACTGTAATTTAGAGATTGTTCAGGCCCTTGGAAAGAGTTTAGTTATAGTGTACGCCCCCTGTAAAGCATTAAACATTTAACACTTTGCTCTAGTTTTCTTTTGAGGAGATCACAAATTATTTAGTTGCACATTTTTATTGCATAAATAAAATACAATGCTGAAGTTGTGCCTTTTTTTCTCGTGATGAATTTCCCTCATTTTAACTAGCCATTCATGATTGTAGAGAGTACCGATTTTCGTTTGAATTCTCAAGCATGGTAACGTATTTGTTTGGAGTGAGTGTGCAGTTTGATTGATACTTGCATGAGGAGTGCATTGATATATCCAAAATTCTTAGTCTGACTGTTTGACTTGGGGCCAATGTAAATCATGACATGAGATAACTGGCTTTGTCTTGGACTCTATAGTTCTGTAGGTGAGGGGAGAGGTAAGGCAATGTTCTGCTCCTCTTGTACTGTTGATTAACACTTGTTGCCAGGTTATTTTATGTATCATTGGTGTGGTTGGTTCTCCTCTCACTTTTGTAGAGTAAATCAACTTGAGAGACAGCACTAAAGGCTAAAATTAAGGAACGAAGTTAGAATTGTTTTTACACAGCGTAACAGAAAAATTGTAGAATACAAGGAATGCTTTTGAATTGGTAAAAGTTTCGAGGTAATTGGATATACTTCTGGAGAAAGATGTCTTTTGAAGGATATGAGTGGTGGGTTATGGAAATTTGAAAAGGTACAGCTTGTTTGAGCTTGATGGTCTCAATGCATGTAAGAAATATACCTTGCACAAAGACTGTTGTAAGGTCATGATTTTCTTCAGTGATTCCAGGGGCAAATGTGAGATTTAATTGACTTTATGTTCTGTGTTGCATATGTTGTTTTGTATCTTTGAATCAAATGTTACATGTGAGGGGTATTAACTTCATTGCTTGAATGTGTATTTAGGTAATGACTCTTTAATAAATAGCATCATTGGCTAATAGAATGAAGAGCACATAGCTTCTTTGTGGAAAAAATACAACTGCCAGGTGTGTTTTTATTTTGTGATGGATCTTGGCATGAGTTTTCCTACTTGCCATTGATGTCATTTTGACCAGATAACAACATTAGCCAAAGTTCACCTCTCTGGTTGCATCTCAACAATGGCTGAAGGAAAATTAATGTTAGAAGAGGACAGAATCACACCAAACTGAGATGCTTCCTCAGTCAAATAACCTGTGTTCATTTTTCTTGGATTCCACATGAAGAACAGTAAGTTGTCCAAAATTCAAGAAAACTGCTCCTGGAATTTTAACCAGACAAGTAGCTGTGCCTTTCAAAGACGGGTTGTTAAGAGAAAATTTGAACTCATTATCTGTGTAAATCATAAAGCAGATATTTTCTAAACAACAGAACACATAGAATTGAATGTGCAATATTTTTTGACTAAGCTGTGGGGATAAATTGAGTTTTTGTCACTGCACTTGAACTTGCCCATAAACACCATTGATTTTACATCGAAACTCATTGCAAGTTGGAGAGCCTAAAAGTGCAATACCCCCTGCAGAACATCTTGAAGCTGTATGAACAGAAAAAGCAAACATGTATCTCCTAAACTAACTAGATTGAAAACTCATTAATGGGCACTACACTGTCTGAACTAGTGTGCTAGGAATCAAACCCTGCTATTCTCAGTCATCATAAAAGTTAAAGATTTTAAAAAGTATACCAGAATTCCCCAGTTAACTTGCCTTCTAGACCTGGGTTGACAGAAAGCACACACTGGGTTTCTATTACTTATTGCTGGTTAATAGACTCTAGCTACAGACAAACAGTTATGAGCTGTTGACATATTACTCTATAAATTAAAACTCTTATTCCATTAAACTCCCACTTACAAGTAGTCCAATGATATCTGTTTACAAAGGTTGCTGAAATGACTTATGATTCATAATGTTGTTTCTCATGGAATCCCTGGAAGCAGGCCGTTCAGCCCATCGAGTCCACGTCAATCCTCCAAAGAGCATCCCACCCAGACCCCACCCCATCCCTGTAACCTTGTATTTCCTGTAGCTCGTCCACCTGGCCTCCACATACCTAGACGCTATGGGGCAATTTAGCTGGGTGAATCCACCTAACCTGTTGTGATCTTTCTGTTAACAAATGCTTTCCCATTGTGGACACCAAAAATCAGTACCAAGTTAATTTTGGATTGGTTGCTTGCAAAGGAAGCATCCCAACAATCCTTGAGCAACCACCACTCCATCAGCCTGCGTTTTTTCAGTTACTGATGTGACCATAATAAGGATTTAAGAGGTGCATTTTATTCTTTTTTTCTGAAGAGAGATTTTGAGCCATAGGTGTTAAGCTGTCTACATGAAGCCAATAAAGTAAATATCTTGTGAGGCCTTGAGTTTTTTCTTTAAAGTTGGAACAATAGAAGCAGCATGGGTGGGTAGAATCAGGCTGCCACAGAACCAGAGTTGTAGTTTAGCTTTCAGCAATTGGGCTTTTGAAGTTGGCTGTGGAAGCTGTTACATCTCTCTTGGCTACAGCTAAAAGCTTGAGTTCTCTCTCTCTACCAGAATTTCTTTTGATGTTCTTTCTTCCTGGATTGGAAAAACAGTGCATGTGAGACAATCTGTTTTACTGAATTTGCCTTTGTCAAGAGTGTGTTTATGGGATGTTACTATATTGAAACAGTTGCTGTTTAATGGTTAAATAATCTATTATTCTGTTGTGTTCTAATAAAGTTAAAGTTATACTTATTCTTTTTTTTGTTTGTATTTTAACTATTGGGTAAGAATAAAGTTTGTTTTGCTTAAAGCCTAGTAGCATGACCAATTGAATTACATCTGGAACACAGCACCCAACACATGCCCTTAAATAGGATAAAAGTTAGGATCTAGTCTGTCTCCTTTATATATTTGCAGGGGGTTTGGTCTGGTCCGGTCCATAACAGCTAATACAGCCATTCAGCAGCTTCTCTGAAATTTTCAATTGGTGCCATGCGATTGTTATATGCACTGGACCACTGGCTCACAGGTTGAGCTGTCCAAAATAATTTTTTCTAAGATACTTAAGAATTAGGAAATTGCCTTAACCATGACAGGAAAAGTGTGTTGGCAGTTGTGAACCATTCCTCCCAATTTTTTTAAAACCACGTTGCTTTTATTCTCAAGTAAGTATCCATATAGGTCTCATCAAATAGGTGAGTTTATAATCTGTTTCCTTATGGAAAACTTATGTTACTGTATTTTCTTGGCAAGGGATTAAAAGTTAGGGTAATGCAATGGAACTGATAATAAGCCATATTAGGAATTAAAATTGGAGTTTACTTTTTTTGCAATAAATGTCAATACATCACAGGATGTACTAAATAGAGAAATTCAAAATGTGGGAAGTATGCAGCCAACGTCTGAAGATAAAATTAGCTAATATTTGAGACCCTTAAAGAGTTTCAGAAAACTACTTTGTTTTTATTACATTAGATATATCAGTACATATAGTGAAAAATTCATTGAAAGGCAATACATTTATTGTATTGCATATTTGTTAAAGTACGTTGGTTACACTTTGGGTCTTGAACACTAAAGTTCGCTTCACAATCTGGTTAGGAAGTGCTGGTAACTTTTACAAATCATAAAGCTCTGATAAAGTCTGATTTTGACAATCCTTACATTTTTTTGAATTACAGTGCAGTCCATTATGCCTTTTGTGCTGCTAGTTTTGAATATTCTAAGACTCTGTATCTATATGCATTCCAGCCTCTGCCCTTTCCTCGTTCTAATAAATTCCAAATAGATATCCTGTTTAAGTGATATAATTACTTCCCCAAAAGCCATTTGCAATAAATTCCATGTTCTAAAAATGTTCTTTGTAATGAATGTCTTTTAAATTGCTACTTCTTTCCTGCTTTTAGTAGTTTACCTTTTCACGATTTATGTTTTCAAAATCTTTCAGGATTGAGAGGTCCCCTTTGGCTAGATATTCTTTCATGCCTTTGCATGATTTCCTTGATTCTGATAATATATGCTAAAAAGTGACATAACCTTTAACCTGCCAAACAAATCTATTGAGTTCAGGGAAAAAATGAGTAAATGCCAGCAGAATTATTAAGCTTTACTTCAAGGACTAGTAGGTTATTACACTGCATTATAAGAAATTTTTACTTGGAGATTCCTTTGACTTGCACCTGAAGTCATCTTGCCTGACTATATCTCTGCAGGTTCAAGGTAGATTCTTTCATCTGCTGATAAATGATGCCTTCAAAAAGTAATCGAAATCAAACACATTTGGATAACTGTTAAGTCAAAATATTGTATTTGAAATGACACCACCCCTATCTGAGCCAAATCTGCTTTGAACTGTGTGGCACTCGCATTAAATAAAATAGAACATATTTTTCTCTTAAATGACTGCTTCTTTATCTTTGTGCCATGCCAGCCAATGAAATTCTCATTGAGCTAAAAACTGTCTTTGGCTTCCAAGTGGACGTGAATCCTTGGAGTTAATTGTCGAAATCATAATGATCTCGTTCAGGTCACATTGATGACATAACTGAGTTGTGGATTTCAAACCAAATTTTAAAAATTTTATAATCTGTGTCATGCACAACTTAATGTGAAAAGCTAACAAAACAAGCCTAGCACATCCTGTGATTGACATTGATATCGGATGTAAAAACGTACCCTGCTCCTTTGCAAGCCACCCCCGAAAACATCATTTGCAGGGCAATAACTCAATTGAAGGATCCTGATGATGGCAACTATAATAATTAAGTTTGTACTGTTTATAAATACCCTCAGAGTAATGTTATATTTCAGCATTTAAATTGTCATTCTATGTTAATTAATTATACATTGCACAGGGTTTAATTTTGCATTAGGATTATTCAGCTTTTGGTCCGTTTCTTGCATGTCTTGTGACCATCTGTGTGGGCAATTGCCAAATTGACATTTGTGATGCTGCAGTACCACATCTTGTAATGGAAACTGCTGTGCTACAAATTTATTGGAATATAATCTAACATTAATTACTGTTTGCTACTAGAATTTCAATAACAAATGTGCTAAATTATTTTAATTTGACTTCTGAAATACCAAGCAGAACACTTAGAAATTTTGCCTATCTAAAGTTGAATTATTATCTGCAAGAGACCTTGAATTGTGCAATAACAGGATAAGACACAGGTTCTACTACTTTAGAATTTCGAGGCAAGTTGAGGAGATCATTGAGGAGAAAACCAAAAGAAGTGTGTTATACAGAATTGGATTTCTCCAAAATATTTTTGTCCTCAGTGTTTTAAATGAATATGATTACCACATCGGTGCTGCAGAGGAAAACATGAGGAAGATCAAATCTACAATACGCAAGGGCAACTATCTTATCTAAGAGAAAAGGTTTCTGAACATGTGAATAATGACAATAAATTTACTTTGACAAATTCATGTGCCAGTTATCATTACTTGAATTTTTCTACTGGTTAGAGAGAATTCCATTGAGTTTGAAATAACTGATTTCACCATATGTTGCATTTGTTTCATTCACAATCATAAACCAGATTTGAAAAATGTAAACTCAGGATTTCTTTTTCTCTTAAGCTTCAGACAATGGTCAGCGGTTTCAGGAGACTTGCTTTGCATTTGCATTGACACCTCAGCAAGTTCAACAGATTAGCAATTCAATGTAAGTAATTTGTGGTCTTTCTGATTTGGTTTTCGTTGGCCTGATCAGCATCCTTGCTGAGCCATAGGTGTATATATGCACTTTAAAACTTAAATATCTAGTCTTCTTAATTTCTCCACTAAAATAGTTAAAATGCTGAATATTACTTATCTTTTGTCCTAAGTCAATGTTTGGCCTCTGTGCTTTATTAAAAAGAAGGAAAACATCATTATTATCCAATTTAAGATCCAATTTTCAGTAAGGCTAAATTTTTAATTGAATTTAATTAAGTTTTGAATTCAATTGCTTCAATTTATTTTCATAAATGTATTTGAAAATTAAACTTCAGCTTATGAAATCTTATAGCAAGATGCAGTCTGCTGATAAATCCATTCCCCTCCATTCCCTCCCCTTCGCTCTCAATGCACAGACAAAGATCACTAAGAACAAAAATAAGCTATCTGCTCCGCGATCTCCATAAAAGCAAAATGTTGAAGATGCTGGGAGTATGAAATAAAAACAAAATTCTGGAGAGAGTCAGTAGGTCTCGGCAGTGTCTGTAGAGAAAGAAACAAAATTAACATTGAGTCTGCAACTCTGAAAAAATCATGTCTGACTCAATATGTGAGCTTTGTTCCTCTCTCCACAGATGCCACCAGATCGGCAAGGTTTCTTTATCATTTTCTGCCATGCTGTTTGCCATGACATCTATTCTGTTCACCAGTATTGTTCTTTTTCTGTAAGCCTTGATGTAAATACCCATCTTCCTTTAAATGCTTGTATTTATTTTTGCATCCATCAACCTTGTGGGGAATCGTTCCATATTTACATAACCCTTGAGTAACCCATACCTTCTCCGGATTTGCTTTGAACCAGTTTGATTAGTATTCTATTACTGTGTTTTCTTGTTTTGAAAAGAATGATTCACCAGCCTTCTTCTAATTTTATGCACTCGAGTCTGTCAAGCTCTTGATCTCAAGGCAATTTAACCGCTGTTTTCCACACACAGCTCAGCCCTTTCTCCAGGTATTAACCAAGTGAATCATCGCCATGCTTTCTCCAAGACCTAGCTACTTTAATGGAGGAAGATTGAACACAATAGAGCAAGTGAGGCTTACCCACATTGTACGAGCAGTAACCTTTCCTGATTTTTATATTAAAATAATTTAAAATATATTTCAAAAATTCTGATCAGTTGAGCATGATTTGAAGACAATTTATAAAACTGGTTCAATGTGGTCCTGAATGCAGTAATGCCCTGAATCCTTTATCAATCCCAGATGTTTGCAACATTGCCGCCTCTCTCATCACAACTTTTGAGCATTAACAAAATAACTATTCAAGATTCATATCAGTAAGTTTCCAGTTCTGCTTATTATAATACTTTGAGTCTAAGGAATGCTGGTGAATGAAATTTTCTGATAGAGAATGGAAAGCAAATTCTATTCTTCGATTTGTTGGTTACTACTTTTTTCAATTCAAGTACAAATAAATAAAAGAGCTAGGAACTATTTTTGGTAGCATTACCATCCTTTTATCAGTTCTATAGAAGCTAGTTTGGATTGCAAAGCTTCTCCTGGATCATCATGAAGCAACTTGTATAAATGATTGTGTTTCAGAGCCCATAAGGGAGGTTTTGAATTGTGTTGTACAAATTCCTTCATAAATACAAATGTTAACTGTGTGAAAAATGTTTCACTTTTACTTAGGGACATATCTGGGACCAAGTGTGACTTCACAGTTCAGGTTCAGTTAAGGTAAATGCATATTATGTTTGTGGCTTGTCCTTCATTTGCTGTTCTGTTTCCTTTTTTCTGTTTTCTCTCTTCTGTCCCTGCCCTCCCCCGCATCTGAAGTGGTTTTAGTTTGGGCAAATACAAAGTATCAGCAGTTTTCAGAAATGTAATTAAAGGCTCTGCTTGAACGTTTCAAGTCCTAGTTTATTCTGGGTTCATCGTAGTGATTCAAAGCTGGACTGCACTTTGGGAAGTGCAGTTAGTGAGGAATTGGAGAATTTCATAAATTCTTCCTGTATCAACCTAATCCTAGAATATTGATTGCCATATGTAGCACTTTTTAATATTTGTTTGGTGATGCCAATTCATTTTGTGTTGATGATGTGTGACACATTATTGTTTAGCAATTCGGATTCTAACATGGAAGAACAGTGTTTAGGTTTAAGTTTGACTTGTATTTCTATACTCGCATGTGTACATTAAGAATAGGAAAACATAGTTTTGGTCTCAATTTTGAGTTTTGAGAGTAGTACCGGATATTTGTAGTTCTGTTCACGTACATATAAATTAAGTCTTTAAAATCCTTAAGGCCAGTAGTAGAGTGCACTAGTAACAACGGTGGAAGAGAGCAAGAGAGAGGGGAAAAAACTACTTTCGCGTGGCAACAGGAATCTACTATCACAAAGACTGAACTGTCCATAAGGTCAGGCATGTGTGTATGTTTCTTTCAGAGGGAAGCAGGTCATTCGGAGAAAAGGCCTGAAACAGCAACAGTGCAGTTTTGTGGTCTGCAGAAAGTCTGGACCAGAGAAAAAGTCCTGAATGACTTGAGAAAAACATCTAGGAACAGAGAACTGTTGGCAGTTGAGTGTATGGAGAACCATGTGTTTGCGCTGGAAGTTCTTAGAAGTCAGTAAGAATAAAGCTTCAGAAAACAGTAAAAGCCATGCCAACTGAACAAGAATTTAACTATGTTAAGGGCATCTGTAAGGTTGTGGTTGAGGATAAAATAGTTGAATCTCTGTTTCTGATTTTTGTAATAAGACTGTGTTTCAAATTGTTCTTGTATAGTGTAATATAGTTAGTTTTTTCGCTCTTTCTGTGGAATAAACTTTTACTCATTTTGTCAAAAATACATTGACAGCCTATTGTGAATAGTGGTAAATGAGTAGCAAAGATATAACTTGTAGTTTATCAAACCATGTTTCAAACTTGGATGTGACTTGTCCAGTAATAGCAGTAGCTGAAATCATTGTTTATAATTTAGTATTGTAGTTGTAAAGTTGTGTTGTTTATTTGCTACTCAGTGATTGACCCGTTGAGAAATCTAAATGTATTCAGAGAGGTAATCAGACCAAGAAATTGTTTAGAATCGCCTAATACTGGATGCAGTATATATTGTGATGCTGAATATCAAGACTGGAAATTCTAATCCGAAGTATAATTAGACCAGTGACAACAAGGTGCAGGGCTGGATGAACACAGCAGGCCAAGCAGCATCATAGGAGCAGAAAGGCTGACGTTTCGGGCCCAGACCCTTCATCAGAAAAGGGGGAGGGGAATGGGGTTCTGAAATAAATAGGGAGAGAGATGGGGGGGCAGATAGGAGAGGATAGATGGAGAGGAAACAAACAGGTCGAAGAGGCGGGGATAGAGCCAGTAAAGGTGAGTGTCGGTGGGGAGTTAGGGAGGGGATAGGTCAGTCCAGGGAGGACGGACAGGTCAAGGGGGCGGGATGAGGTCAGTCGGTAGGAGATGGGGGTGCGGCTTGAGGTGGGAGGAGGGGATAGGTGGGAGGAAGAACAGGTTAGGGAGGCGGGGACAAGCTGGGCTGGTTTTGGGATGCGGTAGGGGGAGGGGAGATTTTGAAGCTTGTGAAGTCCACATTGATAGCATTGGGCTGCAGGGTTCCCAAGCGGAATATGAGTTGCTGTTCCTGCAACCTTTGGGTGGCATCGTTGTGGCACTGCAGGAGGCCCAGGATGGACATGTCGTCTGAGGAATGGGAGGGGGAGTTGAAATGGTTCGCGACTGGGAGGTGCAGTTGTTTATTGCGAACCGAGCGTAGGTGTTCTGCAAAGCGTTCCCTGAGCCTCCGCTTGGTTTCCCCGATGCAGAGGAAGCCACACCGGGTACAGCGGATGCAGTATACCACATTGGCAGATGTGCAGGTGAACATCTGCTTGTTGTGGAAAGTCTTCTTGGGGCCTGGGATGGGGGTGAGGGAGGAGGTATGGGGGCAGGTGTAGCACTTCCTGCGGTTGCAGGGAAAAGTGCCGGGTGTGGTGGAGCTGGAGGGGAGTGTGGAGCGGACAAGGGAGTCACGGAGAGAGTGGTCCCTCCGGAAAGCAGATAAGGGTGGGGAGGGAAAGATGTCTTTGGTGGTGGGGTCGGATTGCAGATGGCGGAAATGTCGGAGGATGATGCGTTGGATCCGGAGGTTGGTGGGGTGGTACGTGAGGACGAGGGGGATTCTTTTTTGGTTATTATTGCGTGGACGGGGTGTGAGGGATGAGTTGCGGGAGATGTGGGAAACACGGTTGAGGGCGTTCTCGACCACTGAGCCGGGGGAGGTTACGGTCCTTGAAAAACGAGGACAACTGAGATGTACGGGAGTGGAATGCCTCATCCTAGGAGCAGATGCGGCGGAGGCGAAGGAATTGGGAATAGGGGATAGCATTTTTGCAGGAAGGTGGGTGGGAGGAGGAGTATTCTAGGTAGCTGTGGGAGTCAGTGGACTTGAAATGAATATCGGTTTCTAGGTGGTTGCCCGATATGGAGACAGAGGTCCAGGAAGGGGAGAGAGGTATTAGAGATGGTCCAAGTAAACTTAAGGTTGGGGTGGAAGGTGTTGGTGAAGTGGCCTCCACCGCATCTGCTCCCAGGATGAGGCATTCCACTCCCGTACATCTCAGTTGTCCTCGTTTTTCAAGGACCATAACTTCCCCCCTCCTCAGTGGTCGAGAATGCCCTCAACCGTGTTTCCCCACCTCCCGCAACTCATCCCTCACACCCCATCCACACAATAATAACAAAAAAAGAATCCCCCTCATCCTCACGTACCACCCCACCAACCTCCAGATCCAACGCATCATCCTCCGATATTTCCGCCATCTGCAATCCTACCCCACCACCAAAGACATCTTTCCCTCCCCACCCTTATCTGCTTTCCGGAGGGACCACACTCTCCGTGACTCCCTTGTCCGCTCCACACTCCCTTCCAGCCCCACCACACCCGGCACTTTTCCCTGCAACCGCAGGAAGTGCTACACCTGCCCCCATACCTCCTCCCTCACCCCCATCCCAGGCCCCAAGAAGACTTTCCACATCAAGCAGATGTTCACCTGCACATCTGCCAATGTGGTATACTGCATCCGCTGTACCCGGTGTGGCTGCCTCTACATCGGGGAAACCAAGCGGAGGCTCGGGGAACGCTTTGCAGAACACCTACGCTCGGTTCGCAATAAACAACTGCACCTCCCAGTAGCGAACCATTTCACCTCCCCCTCCCATTCCTCAGACAACATGTCCATCCTGGGCCTCCTGCAGTGCCACAAAGATGCCACCCAAAGGTTGCAGGAACAGCAACTCATATTCCGCTTGGGAACCCTGCAGCCCAATGGTAGCAATGTGGATTTCACAAGCTTCAAAATCTCCCCTCCCCCTACCGCATCCCAAAACCAGCCCAGCTTGTCCCCACCTCCCTAACCTGTTCTTCCTCCCACCTATCCCCTCCTCCCACCTCAAGCCGCACCCCCATCTCCTACCGACTGATCTCATCCCGCCCCCTTGACCTGTCCGTCCTCCCTGGACTGACCTATCCCCTCCCTAACTCCCCACCTACACTCACCTTTACTGGCTCTATCCCCGCCTCTTCGACCTGTTTGTTTCCTCTCCACCTATCCTCTCCTCTATCCATCTTCTATCCGCCCCCCACTCTCTCCCTATTTATTTCAGAACCCCGTTCCCCTCCCCCTTTTCTGATGAAGGGTCTGGGCCCGAAACGTCAGCCTTTCTGCTCCTATGATGCTGCTTGGCCTACTGTGTTCATCCAGCCCTGCACCTTGTTGTCTCGGATTCTCCAGCATCTGCAGTTCCTACTATCTCTGATATAATTAGACCAGTATTGGTCAACAATCGCAGATCTGAATTACTGGAGATCATTTGAAGTTTGTAACTGATTTTTTTCTTCTTTTTCAAGGTTTTGTTTATCAGAAACAAGCTGTCCACAGGAAGATCATTTTCCACCGAATCTCTGCGTGAAAGTAAATGGGAAAACCTGTAACCTGCCAGTAAGTATAAAGTCAACTGGTCTACTAGATTTTATTTGGCTCAATCTTATTGTAACTTTTTAAGTAACTTTTAAATTTTTTTTTCCAGGGTTATCTGCCACCAACCAAAAATGGTGTTGAACCAAAGCGACCTAGCCGACCAATTAATATTACCTCACTAGTCAGATTGTCTACGACAGTGCCGAACACTATTGTGGTTTCATGGTCAGCAGAAATTGGAAGAGTAAGCTTTTCTTCATCTTTTCAATGTAACTTATTGTAACAGCACAACACATTATGACTCGGTAATTTTAATCACTCTGTGATGGATTTTAGAAGCTCTGTTTAACTAAAATGAATCCAATGCTTATGGTTTATCCAATATGCCCAGTTGTATTATAACTTAAGTATTCTTGCCCTAGGATACCAGTGAAGCTTAATGAGTGTAAAGTTTCATGCTATTTCCAACAAGTAGTACCAAAAGCATATAGTAATGCAATTTAATGGTTTATTTTCTATCTATCTTGATCTGTATAATTAGAGTGAATTGTTGCTTGTTTCTCACTGCTGTGGTGGCAATTTTAGAGATTAACAAAAGGCATTTCTAAAGAAGTGTTCATTGGTTTGAGTATGACATTTGTTCTTAATCCTACCAGCAGTGATGGATACTGTGTGATACTTTACTTTAGCCTGGATTTCTGGGCACCAAGTATCCTCCATGAAGAAAACTGATGATGTAACCCAAACTGAGGAAAAACATATGAGCTAACACCAGCAATAAGCAAAAGCATAAGGGGAAGCAGCTTATGAAAACATTCTGTAGAGAGTGAGCTCCTTATTAGCTCATCTTGCAATAACACAGTCCAGTATGGATGTAAACCATGGAAGAAAGTAGGGTTCAACTACAGGTATGTGCCAAGTATGCTGTTTTCAGCCAGAGTAGCAGCAGTTGCCCTGGGACCAGGGAAGGAAATACTGTATCTTGGTTATCATTCCTTGCTACCCACTGTTCCTGAATGGGTGTGGGGACAAGTGAGAATCAGAATTGTCAGCCAACACTCAGCATCCAGGTACTCAGGTGCTTAATTGAAGAGGAGCCTTGCTAAAAGGCATGCTTCTGAAAAAGCTATGTGATAGATGGGAGAGGAAGATTACTTAAGTTAAGGGGTAATTATTACTTGCTGAAATCATTCTATAAAAGCACCTGCAAGAGTACATGTAATGTGACAGTTACATTGTAACCTAAAGGTGGAGCTTTAAATTGTTTCCAATCTCTGTATCTTCAACCTGCTCTTGATTGGTGACTTGTGGAAGGGCTAAGAGGAGATCAAGTATATCCCTAAAGTAAGGACTAGCTATAATGTTATAATTGGGGGAAAGTGCATCGAGTGAAGAGAGTACAGGTGTGGATGAATTGGGAAAAGAAATTGCCATGTGAATAAGAGATAGACAAGAGTTAATGTTTTGAGTCTGGTATGACTGTTCTTCAGAGCTGGAAGATGTTGGGAAATTGACACAAATATCCCTTGTGTGGTTCATTTCTTGAACTACTTTGCTTGTTTTGGTGAAGCCAATCCTGAAATCTAGTATACTGATATTTCTATGAGGAAGTGTTATGTTGGAATCACCTTTTATACCTTGAAATGGAAAATATTTGTAGCATTTCAGTTTCAAACTGAAGGTTGAGGAGAACTTTAGGGCAGGACAGCAACTCGACATTAAAAACAATTGGTGGGTTGCTATGTTTCGTCTTTTGGTCATGGTGTAAGAATACAAGTATGATCTAAGATTGCAACTTGGCACTATTTGTTATTCACAGATAATAATGTTGACAGATATGGTGGTATCAGTTTATGACGTGTTTTAACTTTGAAATTGTGATATAGAATGTTGAACTTCTGGTTCCTAATTGTAACTTGTATGATGCCTTAGTGCAGCAAAACTGAGTCAAGTAAGATCAAAAGTTGTCGTTGATCATCTCTGCTGTGGTATTTGAGTAGGTCTTTTACCGCAGCTGTTAATGCTGATGGGTTTGACTGCAGTGTTTTGTTGGTTGTCATGTAAACAGTGTTCTTAGAAGGAGGTGATGTAATTAAGAATTTAGAATTTTGGCTTCTACTTCTTGGTTTGGGATTAAAACAAAATAATTCAGAGATTAATAGGTTTACGTAATGGGTCAATAAACAACACTTCAGTTGCTTCATATCTCACTTCTGTATGTTCTTTGGAAAACCAATGTCTCCTCTTTTATTAAATGTGATTAGAACATTATTTTGTTAACCACTTGTACAAAATATAGGTCTGTTGGTTTAAGACCCCAAGATGAGATATGTATTCAAGAAAGAAGTATGTTTCTGTTCATATAATTTGTTGTAACTACTTAAGGTACGATGCAGGTTGCATCCCTGTAGATAATTACCTGGGCCAAGGTATCTTCTTTGCCACAACTGCTGTTCCTGCATCTAACTGCACAATTAAACTCAAAGGACTCTTAGGGCATGTGATAGAGATCCTAGCCCTGGATCAGAAGATCTGGGTTCAAATCTCATATGCCCTAGAGGTGTGTCAAAGTATGTCCAATTAGGTTGATTAAAAATACTTTGCCTATTTAGAAACAAGTGGCATCTGGTCAGCCTCAGCAGAGCAGTTACAGAACTTAGAGTGGACTCAGTTCCAAAGAGTTTAAAGGCTCTCATGGCACAGTTGCAAAACACTGTTCTAAAAATAAAAGCACAGTGTCAGGAATACTCAATTAGCCAATTAACATTTGTTATTTCATTAGAAACTGCTTTTGCTTGAGTTTCACCTGCAGTATTTAGCTTTTGTCTGTTGTTGGGTAGCTTAAAAGTTGTTGTGATGACCATTTATCACTATTTGAAAGAGGTTCCCCACACAGGAAGTTTTGGAAGCTGCTATATTTGATACCTTTGTAACCGTTCAAGAAGATTGCTGACCACCACCTTCTCAAGGGCAGTTGGGATGTGCAACAACTGCTGGCCTAGCCAGCAATACCCACATCCTGTGAAATAACTGCTGTGGGTCAAGCATGTTAAACAAATATAAATCAGTGATGAACTGCGTATCAATTTGAAGTGGCTTTGGGTTTTCTATTCATTGTTTAATAAGTTTGAATAATTATTTTGGACCCTTGTTTTTGTACTCAAAGTAGGAAACTCCTTTGCAATGTGATCTTTGAGAAGCTATTTCCAGCTTGCTCGTTCTTGACAATCCTAACTGAATGTGGATGCCATGGGCTGGGATTTGCCCAGGTCAGCTGTGCCACATCCAGTTGACCAGTTCTCTTGTGTGCACTTAACCAGTGTAGATAAACAGCTTGAGATCACTATCGTCAAGCTCAACTCTCTTCACGCTTGCTGTCTGGCAAGAACTGCTAGGTAACAGCTTGGAATGGAAACCTTGGCTGAGTTTGTTTCTCCCAACAAATGAGGAGCACCAAGAGCAGATGTGGTGTCCCACTTGCTAACTGAGTAGAAGCAAGAGTGAAAGCTGCAGCCTCCTTTGTGATGTGGGAAAATGACATTTCATCATTGGGGATGTAGATAATTAAAAACATTGGGTGTACTTGCTTTATAAAGCTGCCTTATCTTCATTTTTGTGAAAGATGTGCATACAATTAATGTACATATAATCGTTAAAAGACTAGATGCAGGCTCCAATATGATAATTTAAATTTGACAAAAGGTATATGGTTTAATTGTAGTGTTTGGAAATGTGGTTGAATTTGATACAGTTGACAACATGGTTGACCCATTGCATTTTTTTTTCAGAACTATTCCATGGCAGTTTACCTTGTAAAACAGCTGTCTTCAGCAGTATTGCTTCAAAGACTGCGAGCTAAAGGAATAAGGAACCCGGACCATTCCAGAGCATTAAGTAGGTACAATTTGTGAACAGGTAGTTTGCATAGGCAAAGTTTACAATTCATTTGAGTGATAACAAAATTCAAAACATTGTTTCCTTTCTGTTCAATATTGGTTGTAATCATTTAATCTAATGATTTATTCTGAATCTAGCTAAAAGTTCTGAATTGTGAGAGAGTGGGCAGAAGAGAGAATAGCTGTGTGGGTGATGGTAGCCCTTTAAGAACCTTCCTCACATGTCACTGATTTTCCTTTGTGATGTTAGACAGTGAGACCATTTGACAGTAAGAGGTGCCAGCTATAGATAATTTGATTCAATTAGTGCCAGTTTATCTGCAGTCTCACTTTTCAAAATGGTTTTTGGATAAATGATTGACTGCTGCAGGGAACCCAAGTTGGATTTTTCCCTTTTGTCTAAACCACGCTACAGAGACTGGTTATGAATACTCTACATTCATTTGAACAGAATTTGGTGGCTTAGTAATTTGGCACTGATCAATGATTCAAATCACCTTTCCTCCCTTGGCTGTGTTACGCTTTACCACATCATTTTCACCTTTTACAATATATCACTGAGCAAGATTTTTGGGGGAGTATCCTGATAGAAACTGAAGTTTACATTTTGTAGTGGTAAATTGCTTTAATTGTCATAATTTCCAGGATGCTCAAACATATATGTGCGAGATGAATGTCAACCCATGAGAAATGCAACTATTTAATTCACTTTTTAGTTTATCATTTTCTTGAAAGTGTTTTTGTGTTTATTCTTTGTGGCATGCTTCTACGGATGCCAGGTTTTGTGCAATACCTGCCCAAGTGGCTGTTTATTTGTGTACCATTCACTATTGACAGTTATGACAACTCTACACAATTCTGTCCTCACCTGATGTTAAGAAATGCATTTTCTGAATGGTAGTGATCAGAGGTTGACTGGTTCCTCCCCCAGCCCACCTCCAGCCAAAAGGAGATGTAGTGCTGTAACTGTGATAAAGTTCAGAATCGGAGACCATTTTGCCTTGTACTCTATCTTATCTTAGAAGATTTACCTGGGTGTTTTTATCTCTACATTGGAGTACATCCTGAGGCTAAAGCATGCAAATTATTGCTAATGTTTCTAGAATCAGACCAATTTGAAAATGTTAGTCATGTTGAAACATCTTCCCAATTGACACGCAGCTTTGTTTTCTAACGTGTTTCTGCATTAGTGTATGCCAGAATGGTATGTGCTGTTCAGCATTTAACTGCCCTTCTGACTTAGTGATGTCACAGTGGAATCTAACTGATGTTGTTTGGGAACTGGCCAAAATAATTGCTAATTAATTAATCAGGCTAAGCAATTTCTGTTTACAGTACAGTTCAGCTATTTGAAGATCTTAGAGAAGATGGTTGGTTTGGTGCTGAAAATGATTGACTTAAAGTACGAGTAACGTTCAGAGCATCACCAGAGTGGGAGTAAGTTGGTAGGAGAGAATAAGTATGTAATTATTGTTCAGCTGTTCAAGTTAGAAATCACTCCTGCTCAAGCAGTGAAGGTTCCAACACTTAACAGATCAGAAAGACAATCTCCAATTAATATAGCCAAGGTTTAGCAAGTTTGACATAAGTTCTGTAGAATCCCTACAGTGTGGAAACGGGCCCTTCAATCTATCAAGTCCACACCGACCCTCAGAGCACCCACCCAGACCCATTACCCTTTTCCCTGTAACCCATCTACACATCCCTGAGCGCTATGGGCAATTTAGCATGGCCAACCCACCTGGCCTGCACATCTTTGGACTGTGGGAAGAAACCGGAGTACCCGGAGGAAACCCACACAGACATGGGGAGAATGTGCAAACTCCACACAGACAGGCACCCAAGGTTAGAATCGAACCCAGGTCCCTGGCGCTGTGAGGCAGCAGTGCTAATCACTGTGCCACCATGCTGCCTTGTACTCCTTGATCACAAAACTGAATCTATACCAATGTTTTCTTTCTATCTAGATGGATTCTGAACTAAGTTGAGCAGAGTTCCCAGTATCATTGTTAAGTTTACTTAAAAACTTTTTCTTCCTACCTGACCACTTTTAATACATGAATGGATTCATTTTAGTTTGTGCTTATAACAAACTTCACAGGGCCTGTCAACTTGACTGGATGCAATCTAAAAGGACAAAGATCTTCACTTCTGCCTCTTGCCACATATTTAATTTCTACAACATGACCTCCTAAAGTGTGGTTTTGACTGTTCTAGATACAAAATATGATAGAATGCTGGATACCACTCTCTGTATCTTGTAGTTAGGCCTGTCAGAAGTAGCAATTTCTGAAATCGATGAATGAGGTCTTCTGTTGTCATAGAAACAAAGCACTTGGGGCTAAACAGATCAAAAGATGTGTAACAGGCTATTGAGTTGGATGATCAGCTGTGATCATAATGAATGGCAGAGCTCGAATGGCTGAATAGCCTACTCCTCCTATTTTCTATATTGTGTTTCTCAGGTCTGTTGTTTCTTTTTTGGCCAATTGATATGCCTGTTGTTTGGATCTGATACAATCTCTAAATTCCCTTGTATGACAAAGTTTAGCCACCTTTCCTGTTGTGTATTTGCACCAAACAGAAAAGAAAAATAGTTGCATCTCACCCACACGTTGTTTGAATTTTTGCCATTGCCTTTCCACTGTCATACCTTCAAGAAATGTTCCCCAATCTATCATAGCCAACTCACACCTCACACCTTGTACCAGTGTAGTTTCCTCTATTAAGATTTAGGACTCCAGTCACAAAATGAACAGCATCATTTTCCACCTTGAAGAATTCTATCATGTTATGCTCACTGATCCCCAACGGTCCTTGCATAAATAGATTGCCAGTTATTCCTTTCTCATTACACAATACCCAGTCAAGGATGGACAGTTTTCTAGTTGGTTCCTCGATGTATTGGTCAAGAAAACCATCTTGTATGCACTCCAAGAATTACTGTTCTTGGTATTGCCACTAATTAAATTGCCCAATCTGTCTGCAGAATAAAGTTGCCCATAATTACCTATGTTCCCTGCATGTATCTCTAGTTTCCTGTTTAATGCCATTCCCAGCATCTGTTTGTGGTTCTATGTACAACTCCTACTAATGTTTTTTTGCATCGTGGCATTTTTCACATTCCTGGTCACCATGCAGCCATATCTCCATAATCCTGACTATCCATACCTATTTTCTTCCATCGGATATCAGTCCTAGCCCTGCTCAGGTGTAACCCTCCCAGTTTTCACTGATTCCACCTTCTCCGGAGCTGGTTCTAGTGCCTCAGGAATTTGAAGCCCTCTCCTTTGCACCATCTGTTAAGTCACATATTCATTCAATATATCTTGCTATTTTTACTCTGACTAACAGGTGGCACTTGTCGTAATCCTGAAATCATTACATTTTGAGGTCCTGCTTTCCAAATTACTTCCCAACTCTCCTTATCCTACTTTTAGGACACCGTCTCTTTTTCAAAAAGCTTTGTTGTTTGTACCAATGAATACCATGGATAACTGGCTGTTTACCATCCCCCTCCAGAATGTTCTGTAGCTGCTCTGAGAGATCCTTGACCCTAGCACCAGAGAGTCAGCATACCATCCTGGAGTCTTGTTTGACAGGCACAGAAATGCCTGTCTAGTCTCCTTACAGTCAAATCCCCTATAACTACTGCATTTCTGCACTTTTACTACTCCCCTGCGCAGCAGAGCCAACTCTAGTGCAACCAATTTGGCTGTTGCTGCCTTCCCCTGAAAGGCTATTCCCCTCAACAGTATCCAGAGCGGTATATCTGTTCTGCAGGGAAATAGCCACATAAGACTCCAGCACTGCTTGCCTAGTCTCCTCGCTCTGCCTGGTGGTTACCTGTTGCTTTTCTGCCTGTGGAATCTTAGCCTGTGTTGTGACCACTTCTGTATATGAGCTATTCGTGATACTCTGCCTCATGGATGCCCTAGTGTCCCTGGCTGCTGCAGCCTGTGAAACCTGTGCAGCCAAGCACTGCAGCTGGAGATACTTTCTGCATGGAGGCTGGCCCCAGGCACTGGAAATGTTCCTGGCATCCCACAGAGAGCAGGAAGAGCATATTGTGGTTTTGAGCTTATTTGAAATGGCTTACTGTTCTAAATTAAACATTTTGGAAAATGCTTAGCATCAGCTACCCTCGGGCCCTTATTCCCTGTTCTTGTTACAAAGTATCAGTCAAAATAAAAGCAAAGAGTACCTCTGCATTGAGTTCCCACTGTGTCTCAGTTAGGATGTGCTTTCTCCAAATTGCTTGTGTGCAAAGCTTACTCCAAAAGTCTACCATGCTGAGAGCATTACCTAGGTATCTGAATTACTTGTCAAGCAACAACATGACTAGGTCACCACTTCCCTCACCGAAGATGCTGGGCCACAGTTCCACAAATACCTGGAATGACCTAGTGCCTTGCCTGCAGTGGGGCAAACTTGACATTTGAATTTCAATGAGTATGTGTATATGTGGATATTTATTTCTCAACTGCATTGCAGCTGAGCTCAAGGCTGTTTTGCTCTAGTATCAATATATTATTTTTAGGTTGGGGTTAGTAAATGGCAATTAAGGGTGAGTATCATAACATTTTCCTTCTGCTGAATCTTTTCAACATAGGCCATAGTCAGTTGTAAAATACCCAAGTAAATATCCTCACTGAATCCAAAATCTCGGTATAATTAGATTGTCAGAAGTCAAGTGACACCAGGTTATAATCCATCAGGTTTATTTGAAATCACAAGCTTTCGAAGCACTGCTCCTTCGTCAGTGAAGTGCTCCAAAAGTTTGTGATTTCAAATAAACCTGATGGACTCTAACCTGGTGTCGTGTGACATCTGACTTTGTCCACCCCAGTCCAACACCAGCACCCCCACACCAAGACATTGCGCTATGCGTGGATCTCATAGTTCCTTTTATCCAGTCAATTATTAGTGAACTCATTCATTAGAAGTGTTATAGTTAGCTTTAGCAAGGAATTTGGTCTTTGTCAGAAAATTTCTGACCAGTGTTTTAATGATTTTTTTTGTGTTCTCTCTGTGAACTTCCCCTCCCCCTGTCAAGAATGCTGTTCTATTATTTATAAGTGTTGTGTTAAGATCTTTGGGATTGCTGCTTGTGGGCCATCTCTGACATGAGACTGGCAGAAACCTGAGCGTAAACTTACTGGCCTTAGCAAATACTCCAAAGCTTACTTTAGGTTTCCAGCTTTGGTGCCACTAGTGGGAAAGAGTCTTAACACAATACAGAAGCAACTTAACGTACTCTCTCCAGAATCGAATTAAACCTGCTCATTTAAAGTAGTCAAGAAGTCTCTGTCTCCTGCTGCAATTTCCAATTCTTCTACTTATGAAAGCACATAAAAGCTGTGTTAACCCATAATTTGTATCCTATTTGTTGCTATAAATAGTGATTTTGCCTAATCCATATGCTTGGAAAATATGCACTTTTTAGTTGTCTTAGCTTTGCTGGAAGACTGCTGCCAAGATTGTCTCTGCACAACAACTGTGAGCGGGGGAGGGTAATGGGTAATGGTGCTCCAGCAACTAGTCACTACAAATCAACTTCAGCTAATGAAATGTGTTTGTTCCCTTAGGCAGGTGCAGATAAAGGGTGAACTAGTGATATCTCCTCTCCCCTTACCTGCCTCTACCCTCCAGCCCTTCCGTCTCCCTTCAGAGGGGAAGATAGGAATGCTGTACCACTGTGATATGTTTGACAAAGATTCATCATGCTTTTGGCAGCTAAGTCTGGAATACCAGGCACTGTCGGGTGTGAAAACAGTAAGACGATGGATACTCCTCTGTAGCAGCCTTTTTATTGAGTGTGCTTTAATTTCCAATCCTGTATGTTTTGAAAGTGTAGTTGACTTTGTGCAAGGTAAACTGTCTAAAGGACTGGAAAAAGAAGTGAGGGAGTTCAGAGGGAGAAACAGGAGCTTTTTGCTGTGCTAAAGTAATATGTAGAGGTAAAGTAAAATGCTTGGTTAGCGAGAAAATTGTTTATCACTTAAGTTCCTTGTAGCCAACAACTTCCCATTTCCTCTCAACCCTACAGAGCTTATCCTGTGTGGCCAGATCACGTCCAGTGCTTTTGTGGTGTCTTGACTTCAACAAGAATGGATAACATGAAAAATTCAGGCTAGCTTCAGACATTAAGATAAGAGTTAAGACTGTAAGATGTAAGAGCAGAAGTAGGCCATTCAGCCCACTGAGTCAGCTCCCATTCAATGAGATCATGGCTGATCTGATAACCCTCAACTCCACTTTCATGCATGTTCCCCATAATCCTTGAATCCCTTACCCATTAAAAATCTGGCTATCTCAGCCTTGAATAATGTTAACAACACAGCCTTAGCACCAACCCTGCCTTAGCAGCACCTTTTCGGTGATGAATTCCACAGATACATTACCCTCTAAGGGAAGAAATTCCTTCTCACCTCTGTCTTAAATGGGCAACCCCTTCTGAGATAATGCCCTCTGGTCCTAGACTCTCCTACAAGGAGAAATAATTTTTCCACATCTGCCCTGTCAAATTCCCCAAGAACCTTTTGATGTTTTATTATGATTGCCTTTCATTCTGTAGACTGCGATTTATACAGGCCAAACGTACTAACACTTTCCTCATAAGACAGTCCCTTTGTATCCACTATCAGCCTAGTGAACCTTCACTGAACTACCTCCAATGCCAGTATATATTTCCATTGATAATGGGCCTAAACTGTTCATGGTATTCCAGCTGTGGTTTGAGTAGTACCTCATATAGATTTATCAAAACCTCTCTGGTTTGAAATTCTATTCCCTTTGAAAATAAAGACTAACATTCATTCCATTCCTTCACTGCTAGCTTTTTTGTGATTCATGCGCAAGGACTCTCAAATCCCGTTTGACTGTAGCAGTCTGCAGTTTTTCTTTATTTAAATAATATTTAACTCCTGTGTTCTTCTCATCTGTTATAGCTTTTGGTTTTGTTTATCGCTTTCGTCACTTCACATTTCCACATTATATTCCATTTGCCACGTTTTTTTTGATAACTTGCTTAACTTGTCTGTATCCCTGAGGGTTCCTTACCACTTGCCTTCCCACCTAATTTTGTGTCATCTGCAAACTTGGCAATAGTACATTAATTTTCATCATTATGTTCACACTGTTAGACTGTAGTGAAACAAAATAACGAAGTCACTGATGCATCTGCCAACAAGCAACCCTCATTTACAACTGCAGAATAGATACTTTTGATTGTGTTCCCTTGTATTCAGATAAACCCTCCCTTCAATCTAATAGACAAAACAATAAAAGATTAAACTATATCCAACACAAAAATGATAAATATGACCCATCAATGTGCATTGTCAGATTCAGGAAAGTGCAGTAATAATTGTAATCTGTCTATAAATTTCTTTGATAAGGGAGCCTCTGGCTTCAGTGAAAGGAGATTAACTGTCAGGGAGTGTCATATTGAAGGAAACACAGAATCCTGGAGAAGCTCAGGACGTCTGGTGGCATCTGGAGAGAAAGTAACAGTTCATGTTTGAGTCTGGTATGACTGTTGTCAACTCTTCTGAAGAAGACCAATTCTAGACTCCGTGTTAACTCTGCTTCTCTCTCCACAGATGGTGCTAGACAGGCTGAGTTTCTTCAGCATTCTCTGTATTTGTTTCAGATTTCCAGGACTGCAGTATTTTACCTTTATTCAAATGTCGAACTGCACCAGTGTAAAGACCACGCTATATAACGTTTGAGGAAGGTGTTAAAGGTTGCCAATACCAAGTAATATTAAACACTAAACATATTTTCTTCTGTCCCCAGTCAAAGAGAAATTAACAGCGGATCCCGACAGTGAAATCGCCACAACAAGTTTACGAGTGTCTCTGTTGTGTCCTGTGAGTACAGCTTGATTTGCATTATTGATGTTTAAATTGCCTTGTCTTCCTTGCACAGAGTTGCAGTGTTTATTAACTGTTTAGAGGCAGAAGCATTTTTTTTCCACTGTGCTTTATTGATTGCTGGTTTCATAACAGCTGTGAATTGAATTTTATAAATTCTCGCTGTTCGTAGTTTGTGTTTTGAGTTTGACGGTTCTGAAAAGCTGTCTCAATTGGTAGATTTCTGATGCAGAAGTACAGATCTATAGATCCACTTTACATTTATTTTTGTACCTAAATGTTTGTAGATAAGAAATATAGAAAATACTGGTTCCTAGTCAGTGGTGATCTTGTTCAACTGTTAACTACTTAGTTGAAATTATAAATCCTGTATGGGCCCATCATGTAAACAGTTTCCCAAATGATTTATGTATGAAAATAATGTATCTTGGTGACAACAGTTTATATTGATATAAATCATTTTCTTGTTTTTATCTTCCTATTTGTCCCTTTCCGCAAACTATTTTGCCTTTATTCCTTTACATGAGGCCATCAGAAAATGCGTTCCGTAACTTTTTGCTGTGTCTTCATCAGCAATTCTGTGCCAAGTTTTCCTAGGAGTAAAAAAAATGGTGCAAATTGTTCAATACCGAAGTTAGTCTCCCCTCCCCATCCTTACCCCTGCCTTTTCCCCTCCTTTCCAAAGGAGCTGACTTATTGTGCAGGACTCTTCCATGAATGCTAAGAGCTGAAGTAGCTGTTCTTCACGTGAACTTAAATAGTGTGTGCTAGTGCATAATTTGATTTCTGGGGTACATCGCACAGCTAATGCTGTACTTACCCTCAGCATCTGCACTCACTCACACTTCTAACGTGTCACTCCACAACTCTGTTATCATTGCTTTAGTCCAGAGGCAGTAAGGCTAATTATTGCAGCCTGCCTGAGAATTATTAACATTGCGTAGACTCTGACACCTGCTGTTATCTATAACTTCGCACTACTGTTACAATGGATGGGGCCTTTATCGATCAGAAAGCTCAAAGTAACTAAAATTTAGGTTTGCTGATGATAGATGGATGAGATACTAAACAAATATTTTGTGTCAGTATTTACTGTGGAGAATGATATGGAAGCTAGGCAGCCTGGGGAAATAAATAGTGATGTCTTGAAGAGAGTTCATATCGAAGAGGAGGGGGTGTTGGAGGTCTAAAACACATAAATCCTCAGGACCTGATCAGGTGTTTCCCAGAACTTTGCAGGAAGCTTGGCAAGAGATTGCTGGACCCCCTACTGAGGTATTTGTATCACTGACAGCCACGGGTGAGGTGCTGTAAGACTGGAGGTTGGCTAATGTTATGCCAACATTTAAGAAAGGCTGTAAGGAAAAGCCAGGGAACTGTAGACCGGTGAACCTTACATTAGCAGTGGTTAAGTTGTTGGAGGAGATTCTGAGGAATGGGATTCACATACATTCGGAAAGCAAGTGTTCATTAGAAATAATCAGCACGGCTTTGAGTGTGTGAAATCTCACTAACTTGATTGAGTTTTTTGAAGAGATGACATAGAATATTAATGAAGGCAGCATGGTAGACATTGCCGATATGGACTTCAGCAAAACGTCCAACAAGGTTCTGCATGATAGACTGGTTAGTAAGGTTAGATCACGTGGGATGCGGGTGAGCTAGCTGATTTGATACAAAATTTAGCTTGAAGGTAGGGGACAGAGGGTGATGGTACAGGGTTGCTTTTTAGACTGGAGGCCCGTGACCACCGATGTGCTACAAGGATCGGTGCTGGGTCCACTGCATGGGCCGATGGACTGAGGAGTGACGGGTGGAGTTTAATTTAGATAAATATGAGGTGTTGCGTTTAATAAGGCAAATCTGGGCAGAACTACGGAGTGCTGCCAAACAAAGACTTAGAGGGCGCATGTGTATAATTCCTTGAAAATGGAATTGCAGGTAGACAGGGTGGTTGGCATGCTTGCCTTAATTGGTCACAACATTTTGTGAAGGAGTTAGGACATAATGTTGCAACTGTACACGACATTGATGAGGCCACTTTTAGAACACTGTGTACAATTCTGGTCACCTTCCTATAGGAAGCGTGCAGAAAGAATTATAAGGATATTGCTGGGACTGGAGGGTTTGATTTGTATGGAGAGGCTGAATAGGCTGGGGCTTTTTCTTCTGGAATTTCGGAGTCGTAGGCATGACCTTATAGGATCTATAAAATCATGAGGAATATGGATAGGGTGAATAGCCAAAACTACAGGGCATTGGTTTAAGATGAGAAGGGAAAGATTTAAAAAGGACCTGAGGGGTAACTTTTTCACACAGCGGGTGGTGTGTGTATGGAGGGAGCTGCCAGAGGAAGTGGTGTAGGCTGGTGCAATTGCAACATTTAAAAGGCATCTGGATGGGTGTATGAAAAGGAACGGTTTAGAGGAAAATTGACCAAATGCTGGCAAATGGGACTAGGTCTGGCCAGTGCAGATAAGTTAGATGAAAAGGTCTGTTTCTATGTTGCAAGACTCTAAAACTAGGAGGTTCATAGGAAAATAGTATAGGAGATAAATAGCTGTCTTTTGCCCCCAGTTACAGTATTTGTACTTGTTCCTTTCTATACTATTTCATGGCGAACAACTAGTACTTGCTCTGAGTAAGTAGTACCTCTGTTCACTGGACAGGTTAATGTTAATGCAGGGCCTAATCTCCACCTGTTCTATCACTTACATTAATCTCAGTTTTATTCACCTATTGGCATGCTTTTGCTTCAAGGAATTTTGAATTAACTCCCTCCCTCACTGTGTATCTCCAGTTCGGCAGATGCCTTGGAAACCATAGGTTTGTGTTTACAGCATGATTCTAACCAAATGCGAAAAGGAAATGTGTATGTGCAGCCGATGAGTCAGCACTTGAGAGACAGACTGAATTTTGGGTGTGGTTTTCCTTCAGGTTATTGTGCATTAGCATTGGGAATTTAAAAACAGGCTTCTTTTATCTTTACAAAGGTAATGCCTTCTCTTGTGGCTTTTTTTTGCCAACAGTTTAAGATTTTTAATCCTCAGGCCAACTGTTGCTTATTCATTCATTGTGTAGCACAAACAAAATAGTATCTAGGTCCACTTCACACCATGTCATGATAGTGAAGTTACAGTTCAACATTTGTTTAAAGTAAAAGGATGAGTATATTTGTGTTCCAAATAATTTGACAACAACCTCATGTGTGTTTGTTTCTAGCTGGGCAAAATGAGGTTGACAATCCCATGTCGTGCAGTAACCTGCTCGCATCTCCAGTGCTTTGATGCAACTCTTTACATTCAGATGAATGAGAAAAAACCTACGTGGGTTTGTCCAGTCTGTGATAAGAAGGGTCCTTATGAGCATCTAATTATTGATGGGTAAGCAAACATTGAAATTCCAATCAAGGGAAATACTGTTCTTTCCAGGATCTCATTATTTGTCACTGCGGTTTGAAAGATATTTTTAAGTAACTCTTGAATTATTTTTGTTTTAAGCTTACCCTCATTTGAAAAATGGTTTATATTGAATATCCAAATTGCTGCCTTTGGAAGATGCAGTAATTCATCGCTTGCATTTTAAAATAAAATTGTCAAATCTGTTGAGAGCTTCAAAGTGTTTACATTACTAAAACCAAGCAAAATGATTTGTTCAGATGTCCCCACCTTTTAAACAGCAGTGTTTGAGCATATTTGTGCATCTGAAGATTTGTTTTTGTAGCAACAGACATTATCTTGTATGCAATGCTTAATGTCACAAATAATGTTTTGCATTGTGACTTGCAACTTCATTTTTCCTCAAATGTCCAACCTATTCTGTAACCTTCCCTGGTAGGCACTGTAATTGGATTAAACTGAGGCTGTGTCTATTTTCTCATATGGCCTTAGAATGGAAAATTTTGTTTAGCAAAAAGCTTGTCTTTATAACCTAAATTTGAACCCTCCTTTTCACCATGTGGTTTACAATAAGAATGAAGTGCTGCCTGTTATCCCTGGCAGAGTGATTAGATAACATGCATAAAACTAAGATAGAAATGTCTTTAGTAAGGCATTTGACAAAGTCCCATATGGCAGATTGGTACAAAAACTACAGTCACGTGGGATTCGGGGTCAACTGGCGAGGTGGATACAAATCTGGCTTGGTCATAGAAGACAGAGGGTAAAGGCGGAAGGGTGATTTTCAGACCGGTAACTAGAGGTGTTCCACAAGGATCAGTCTCGGGTCTTCTTTTGTTTGTAGCATATATAAATGATCTAGAGGAAAATGTGGGAGGTCTGATCAGTAAATTTGCTGATGACATGAAGGTTGGTGGAACTGCTGATAGTGTCAGCGATTGTGAAAGGATACAACAGCATTTGGATAGATAGGCGACTTGGGCACAAAAATGACAGATGGAGTTTAATCCAGACAAATGTGAGGTGTTGCACTTTGGAGGATCAAATTTAGGTGTGAATTATACTGGCAGAGCCCTTAGGAACATTAACATACAAGCTGATCTGGGCATGCAGGTCCACAGTTCCCTAAAAGTGGCAACGTGGGTGGCCAAGGTGATTAAGAAGGCATATGGCATGCTTGCCTTCATTGGCTGGGGCATGGAGTACAAGGGTTGGCAGACCGTGTTGCAACTATATAAAATCCTTGTTGGGCCGCATTTGGAGTATTGTGTGCAGTTTTGGTCGCCACACGACCAGAAGGATATAGAAGTTTTGGAGAGAGTGCAGAGAAGGTTTACCTGGATGTTGCCCAATCTTGAGGGCATTGGCTGTGAGGAAAGGTTAAAAAGACGAGGATTGTTTTCACTGGAAAGATGGCAGCTGAGAAGAGACCTGATAAATGCCTACAAAATAATGAGAGGCATACAGTAGGGTTTTTTTCCAGGGTTGAGGTTTCAAACACAAGGGGGCACCGGTTCAAGGTGAGACGGGGAAAGTTTAAGGGAGATGTGCGAGGGAAATTTTTCACACAGTGTGTGTTAGGAGCCTGGAATGCACTGGCAGAGGAGATGGTGGAAGCAGGCACATTGGCAACATTTAAGAGGCATCTGGATGGTTACATGAATAGGGAGGGAATAGAGGGATACAGACTGAATAAGGGCAGAAGGTTTGTTTTTTAGTTTAGTTATGGTGTGATGATCGGCTGTACTTTTCTTTAGTTCTTAGAAGCTTCTAGTTGATCTTCTTCAGTACAGTGGCTGGGCACTGCAAGTGACCTCCATTTCTGGGTCAGGAAAGGGGAAGAATCAGCCAGAATTGCTACTCCAAACTTGAAAATAGTAAGCTGCTGGTAGTTAACACTTGTTGACATTAGTTGAAAATATTCTGAATGCCTGCAGGGCCACCGTATTTTCCTATAATTTCTGCATGCAGTCTTGTATAAATAATGACCATTGGACGTGATAGAAGGCCTGTCATCACATGTGCAAGAGTTGTTTCTCCAGGAGAGAAGGAGAGTGAGTTAACAAATAAGCTGATCATCAAAAAATAACCTAGTGATGAAAAGTAGTGTTGGAGGGGAAAAGAACAATTTTATTCAAAGCTGAAAACATAAGCAGTCTGTCATCTTGCAGGTGATGTTTGTGTGTCCATTTTCCATTCTAATTTGCTTTTTTAAAAATCCTGTTTTCTCATTGTTCCTATTTGAAGCCTTTTACACTGACTCCTCGTCTTGCTAACCTTCCCCCTTTAAATAGCCCCTCATCCATGCCCAAACATCTGTTTCTAAACTCTTTCAGGCTCAATCTCTTCTGGTGTAAAATCCTGGTTACAAGTTGGTTTGTCAAGTCAGGGATTATTTTACAAAACACTTGCCAATTGCATTCCTCGTACTGGAGATGAAGTAAGAAAATGACTTTTATGTTGCCTTTTGATAAGGAGCAGTTTTTCTCAAGCTCACACGTGGAATTGATTTTAATCAACAGTATGTTTGAATTGTCAGTGTTCTGCTATATCCAGTCACTTGGCTGTCGTGAAAATAACAAATGGCACCTGATTTTTGGTACCTAATGAGTGGCGCGCAGGAGGCAAGACTATTTGGTCGTAGCCTTTTTCTGTCTTTTTTTTTAAGAAAAGACTTTTACTCATTTACATTTTCTTTAACTATGTAAAAGTGGACACTTGGCTGAAGTTTGAGGTTTGTTGCCCCCAATGAAATCTGTACCCTTGCATCAAATGTAAAAGAAAGCTAAAGCTCCAAGAAAGCTAAAAATTGGAAGAGACGAAACTACTTATTTTTAAGAATGAATATCTGTGGAGTATGCAGGCTGAAAATCGAATTGAATTAACAGTTCACATTAAAAATAACCATTAGTGATGTACCATGTTAGCTGATCAGAAAGTCTCTTATTTAAGCTAAATCGTTTGTTTTCTTTTATCCTGCCACATCTCATACAGAAGGTGATAACTGGATTATCCAGTTTGACAAAGTACTATTTCTAACAATGTAGTAAAAGTGACAAAGCCTTTGACCTTGTGTTGCTGGGAGATAACACAGAAGTAGGGATTTGTACAGAAGGTGACTTCTTGTGCTCTCTAGTAAGGTTATAATATAGCAAAACAAGAGCATATTTTACTGATGTGGTGGGGGGTGTTGTTGGTGAGAAAGGTCATGGGCAGAGATTCTCTAGTCCCAGACATTCCTCTTCTATGTGTCTTCCTAATGTGGTAATGGGTTTTGATGGTACCAGGACCAGATATGCAGCAAAGGATATTCCGAAAACAAAACTGAATCAAAAAGGAAGTGAGGAAAGAGACCAACAGACCTAGGGCTGGGTATATTCTGGTGAAAATAAATCTTTTTCCAAAAAAAAACTTACTGTTAATTGTTACAAGCATTTAACTAAAACATCGAGTTTCCAGTTCTCTCACGTGGTCTACATTATCTAAATTAGCTGCCTGAAGCAAAAAGTACTTTAGATTCTGAAAAATCAGAATTTTAGTGCATTGTTTTTCTTGTGGTTGTAAATTTTTTGGATAACCTCTGTACATCTGCTTTCAAATTGTCATAATTATTTGCACAGCAACAAAATTGCATCTGAATTATTAAGCCTGCATCCATAAGTCAGTGGTTGAATACAGTTCTAATAACATTCAGCTCTACATTTTGGCATTTTCTCAAGTAAAGTTTATAAGCATTACCTGTTACGGATTGTCTTAAAGATTATATTTTCTTAAGGTAGATATGAGCTTGACCGACCATACAGTGGCTTCCTGTACTGTACTTACTCTTGTTTTTGGATGAAGGAGACCATATCAATCTTGGCTTATAGCTTTTTGAGACTTTTTTTCTCGAATGCATACAATGCGGCTTTGGGCTAATTTTATATTTTAGTACTTTTAAATTAAAATCAGCCCTCTAGGGTGTAATTCCTGTCTGGAATTTAATTTTGATCCGTTAGCTGTTTAGTTCAGTCAGGACTAACTATTCTTTTTTGCTTGTATTTTAGATAATTTGGAGGCATCACCATTCACTAGTAGAGTCATTGGGTCATGGAGTAAGTCAGCATGGAAACAGGCCTTTTGGCCCAAACTGGTCCATGGTGCCCACTCAGTTAGTTCCAGTTGCTCACATTTGATCCATATCCCTCTAAACCCTTCCCATCTATGTACCTATCCAAATGTTTTTATTTAAGTGTTACTATTGTACCTGCCTCAACCACTTGATGGCAGGCTGTAATATAATTTGCTGCAATTTTCCAATGGCTTCCAAATTTTGACCTTGGCAGATATCCTAGGTGGCCAGAAAATAGTTGACCATTTATGAAAATGGTAGCTTTGCCAGCTTGGAGTCCATTCCCAGCACATAGCTGATATAGGATCAGAGCTGAACTTGGTATGGTTGCCTCCACGGAAGTGACAGTCTAATTAACTTTGAATTTGTGCTGCTCAAATGAAAGACAATTTTTCTAACTTTGGAGCCTGTCTGTTAAGGAATGCCATCTTGCAAAATATACCTACGTCTGTATCAGGGCTAATTTTTTTTAATTTTGCAAAGGATTCTAAATTTTTGACAAATAATTAGCAATAGATTAAGTTTCACAAGCTGTTCAATCAGCTAGTTCACATGAAACAAATCCGTTTCTTGCCTTGCAATTGGAATTATCACTTGAATACTTATCCATCTATGTTCCAGAAACATGGAGCAACTTGTGTAACAAACTAAAATGTTGTGCAAAGCACAGATGTTTCAGAAATGCAGGAATTTGAGTAAGCCATTCTGCCTCTTGGCTTTTGTTAGGCATTCAGTTAGAAAGCTGCTGGATGACTTGATCGAAAGTTTTCAAGATCACAGAATAGCACAGAAGGAGGTCATTCAACCCATCATGTCTGCATTTGCTTCCCCCCCACCCCCCAACAACCCTGAGAGTGATACGGCTTGGTGCCATGTGCCTGCCTTTTCCCATACACTTCAATATTGTTTCTATTCAAATATTCACGTCACATTTGCTTTACTTGCCAATCACTTATATCTGTACCCTGTCATTCTCAACCCTTTTTATGAGCAGGAACAGTTTCCCCCTATTTATTCCATCCAGAACTTCATGATTTTAAGCACTTCTCTCAGATTTCCTCTCCATAGGAAAAAAGTCACAACCTTTCCAATCTATCCTCATTTCAGGAATTTCTCATCCCCAGAATCATTTTTGATAGTGGAATGAATGCGTCCTTCCAGCAAGGACACAGGCTGCTTACTGAATTCAGTTTTTGTCTACTTGCTGTCAAAGCCATTGCTGTAATTTAAGCAGCTAAATCTGCATTCTACCATCAAGTGATAATCTTTTGTGCTTCAATCCAGCCCATCACCCAATTGTTTTTTTTTCATTCATTCACAGAATGTGTGCTTCTCTGGCAGGAACAGCATTTATTGCATATCCCTAATTGCCTTTTGAGAGGTGGTGGTGGTGAGCTACCTTCTTGAACCACTACAATTCATTGTAGTAAACCTTCAACTTAGGGAGGAAGTTCCAAGATTTTAACTCAGTGACACTGAAGGAACGTTGTTATATTTCCAAGTCAGGGCGGCTGTCAACTTGGAGGACAACCTACGGGTGATGTTTCTGTATATATGCTGCCCTTAAACTTTGATGTGTTAGTGATCATGGGTTGGAAGTTACTAAGGAGCCTTGCTGAATTTCTGCAGTGCATCTTGAAAATGGTACATACTACTTCTGCTGTGCATCAGTGGTGGAGAGTATGGAATGTTTGTGGATGTGGTGCCAATTAAGTGGGCTGCTTTGACCTGGTGAGTTGAGCTTCTTCAGTATTGACAGAGCTAGTCCAATTCAGTTTCTGATCAAAATTAACCATTTGGATGTTGATAGTCAGGGATACTGCAGTGGTAATGCCATTGAATGTCAAGGGGCAATGGTTTGATTCTCTCTTGTTGGAAATGGTTATTGCCTGACACTTGTGTAGCTAAATGACACTTGTCATTTGTCAGCCCAAGCCTAGATACATTCCAGGTTTTGCTGCTTTTGGACGTGGGCTGCTTCACTATTGGAGTAGTCTCAAATGGTGCTGAATACTGTGTAACCATCAGTGAACATTCTCGCTTCTGATGTTATGATGGAAGGAAGGTCATTGCTGAAGATGGTTAGGCCTAGGACATTTCACTGAGGAACTCTAACAGATATCCTGGAGCTCAGATGACCAACTTCCAACAATCACAATTGTCTTCCTTTGTGCCAGCTATGACTCCAATCAGAAAAGAGATTTCCCAGATTCCCATTGACTCTAGGTTTGCTAGGGCTGCTTGATGCCATGCTTAGTCAAATGGTGGCCTTGATGTCAAGAGCTGTCACACGGCTGCCCTTCTGAAGTTGAGCCCCTTTTCCATGTTTCAGCCAAGGCTTTAATGAGTTCAGGAACTGAATGGCCCTGGCTGAACCCAAGCTGAACATCAGTTTCTTGCTAAGCAAGTGTTGCTCGATAGCATTGATGATGACCCCTTCAAAAAATTTACTGATTAGCGAAAGTAGACTTATGGACAAGTAAATGGCTGGGTTTGATTTGCCCTGCCTTTTGTGTGCAAGACATGTGTGGGGAATTTTCCATGTTCCCAAGTAGATGCCAGTGCTATAGCTGACCTGGAACAGCTTGCTTCCCAAGAACAAGTTTTCAGTGCTATTGCCCAGAATGTTGTCACAGCCCATAGTCCTTGCAGTATCCGATGCATTCAGCCATTTCTCAATGTCACATTAAATTGGCTGAAGATTGGCATCTGTGATGCTGGGGACCTCAAGAGAAGACCAACAAGATGAACCACTCAGCACTTGTGACTGAAGTTAGTTGCAAATGTTTCATCCTTGTCCTTTTGCACTGATATGTTGGGCTGTCCCATTTATTGTAAGTGATCAGATTTGTGGAGCCGCTGTCGCCTGTGGATTGTTTAATTGTCCACCCCATTCACAACTGAACGTGGTGGGACTACAGAGCTCTGGTTGTGAAATTTCTTAGCTCTGTTTGCTTATTTTGTTTGGCACACAAGTAGTAGAACTGGTATTGTAGCTTCACCAGGTTAGTGGCTGAGGTTCTTCCACATGTAACTCCAAAAATCACCACAAGCCATAATGTGTATCTTTCGTGCTTTTACTTGTACAACATGGCGCATTGAAGATCTACGCATAGGCAACATTCACACATGATCCTGTCACTGAGCCCTAAGTTGAAAGTGGAGTGAACTGCATTGACATTACTGTTCAAATCTCAATATCACAAAAAGTTGTGTAATTTATGTTGAACCTGCTGTTTTAGTAAAAGAAATGGAGAATTACATGAGTGAAATCAGGTTTTAAGTGGAGGTGCTGACTATTTCACTGGGAGTTATAAATCAGCGTACTTAACCCGGTTAATTCGCAGGAGTAGCAATGTTTCAACCTCCTTGCCTCCCCTGAACCGCACACATGCTGTCTCTTCCAAATAATGGGCATGTCCCTTAAATTTCAAAGATTGGTTGAGCTATGCATTGACAACAAAATAAATTCACCAAATTACAATAATGTTGGTTTTATAGTATGTTTAAACCATACTTAACTACTTGTGACAGTGGTAGGTATTTTGCGGCAAGTTAATGCTAACACTGAAATGCTAGGAAATTAATTGAGTATGATGCATATTTGGCCTTTTGGTTTTACCATCTGTTGCACTGTTTGTTTGCTTTCTTTTCCATTGTCCTACTGAGTATCAGTTGTTGGCAGCTTGAATCAATAGAGTTGGCACTAAAATTTTAGAGCTCTCTGCCTGTGGGTACAGAAAAGCAGGAGACAAAAATATCAGTCACTGAGTATTCAGTCAAAAGTTGAAATGCTAAAAATTCTGCAGATGCAGCAGAGTCGGAATTGGCACAATATTTTATAGAACTTAATGTCTTTGAACAGTATGAGTGCTTCTACCATTTTTTTGTTTCTCTTGTCTCTCTACTGATTTGTGTTATGAGGAAGATGCCGTGTTTAAATCTCTGGTTCCTGATCCATTATCATAAAAGCTCATTTCGATTTTGTTCCGACCAATCACACTTTCACTATAATAAAAATGGAAAGTGCTTGAGACCTTCAGGTCTGGCAACAAATTGACATTTCAAGTCTGATATGGCTCTTCATTGGAACACTTTTAATGCATTGGCTGTTCTTGGTTTTCTGCCGCTTCACTTTTGAGATTTTATTCCTGAAGTGAAAGCCTGCTGTATGATTCAAGATGATGAATGTTAATGAGATATTCAAAAGCGGAAGGTACCTAGATGAGGCCTGATCCCTGTCTGGAAAGATGTAGTTCAGAAGAGGGCATTATTGTTGACCATCCTTGTATATGGTGGGCTGACCAACATTCAGTAACCTATTGCAAATTAGAAATTTAATGTGAGATCTTTATGGTCTCTTGTAGCATATTGCTAAGCCATCAGTAACAATGTGTCTTTGCTGGCTTTTTGGGATTCTATATACTTAAAATTCGGGGACCTGTAAGACTTCAAGTACAGAAAGAACTTGGCAGCAGTATGTTTTAATAAGTGCCATTGATGTCTAAGTAACTGAGAAATTTTCAATAATTTTACTATGTCTAAGTTATAGTATTTGTGTTTCTTCGTGTTGATGAATTCTTATACCCTCAAAGTTTATACTGCAGTGACTTTAGTAATTATTTTGTTCCACAGTGTTTGCTAACAAATGTTCAATATTGTTGCTAACAATGTTTTTGTAGACTAAATTAATTTGTACATTGTTTTTTCTTTAAAAAAAAACAGATTATTTATGGAAATCCTCAATTGCTGTACAGATTGTGATGAAATTCAGTTCAAGGAAGATGGAGCGTGGTCGCCAATGAGAATGAAGAAGGAGGTCCAGGAAGTGAATTCCGCTTATAATGGTGTTGAAGGTATGCCTTTTGTTACAAGGACATGGGGACCAAGCAGAAAGATCAGGTTAGATGGATAGCAGACGTAGCCATTTAACCCAAACTACCTGTGATTAGTGAAATCTGAACAGTGGTGCGGTCATAGAATCTCTTTCACCTCTTAGTTCAAAATCATAGTGCGTTAATGAGATAAAAATTTATTGACAATAAATCAGCATGTTAAATGTAGCGTTAGAGTGGGTAGTGTGGGAATCAGTAAAGAAAGGGAATGCTATAACAAGCTAGGCATGCACTCTTTTTTTTAAATTCCAGGAAGTGAAAGAGTAGAGTAAATCCTTTCGGTCTTCTATTTCCCACCTTCTTTGAGTACCAAGCCCGATAGTAATCAAGCCCGTAACCTGCATTCCACCAGTTTGTTACAATGTTCTGTCATGTGAATAATAATCCATTGTATGTCTTGCTGAAAGAACTCAAGAAAAGAGAAATTGTTCACAGCTGAAAAATCACCAGCACAAGTGTCCCAGTTTCTGCCTTTGAGCTTGCTTTGTATGTGCCTTTTGTTTTTTTTTTCCAGAAATACTGACCATGAGTTTAAATTGTTTACTAGGTGCTTGTAAAAGCTTGACTGAGCACAGGCATTCATCTCAAGATAATAGAAAGGTTGAAGTGATTGATCTGACGATTGACAGTTCTTCGGAAGAGGAGGAAGAGGAACCACCTGCAAAGCGGTACCCTTCGATATCTTCTCCATCACCACCCATCAACAAGGGGTAAGCTTTGAATTATAGTTGTTCTGTTATGAGATTGTTTGTGTGTTTGCAAGGAACTTGGATACAACGAAAATAACATCCACATTTTGATGGATTTCAAACAATCTCTCTCCACAGTCATTTCAAAGCTGGTATTGCATGCAGAATAAAATGTGTGTACTTGTCCCAAATCATCCTTGTTGGTATATTAATCAGTTTCTATGCTTCTGCATTCTTGTATTCATTTCCAATCTTGTCTTTCTCTCTACCTTCAAAAGTCTTCACAAAATTTGAACTTTGCTCTTAGTTTAGTTTGCCTGTTTTCTATTTGTACAGTGCCTTGGTTGTTTCATATATGAAAAGCAGTATATAAATGGCAGCAGCAGTTACTTGAGCATCAGGATTGCAAAACAATTGTCAGATGCTACTGTTTAATTGTTGACAATTACTGTCATTATTTTTTCAGCCAACTTTAAACACTCTTATAGTTTTCTCTGATCTTGAGGATTATTAATGCTGAAGCATAGCTCCCCGTCTCCTGCCCAAACGACTGCTGTTCATTGCAAATCTGGGCAGAAATTGCAGAATTAATGTCTCTGGAAAATCCTGTTTGTGTTTTTCATTTAACTGCAGGAAGTCTTTCTCAACATGAACACGTTGGAACTTCATTTTAAAATCAAGACCTTTAAATTATCCAAATGACCAGCTGGATCTTCAGTTATCTGCTTCAGCCTTTGTCGTGTGACCTTAAAAATGATCAATGTTGGTTCCCTTGGGGTGATTCTAATCAGTTATATTGGCCACAAAATTCCACTTTAGCCTTGAATGAGTTGGACTAGTTAAGCTTCCACAGCAAAGGCAGTAGTGCACACATTACCAAATAAATCTGGCACTTTTTTCTTGTTCATGGTTTTCAGATTTTTCATTCTCATTTCTGTTTTCTTCCTCGTCACCACTTACCTTTTTCTGGAGACAACGCCATGTCTCGTAAACCTTGATGAGCACCATGCACCTTTGGTGCTTTGTCTGAGTGTCCGTGCTTTGCTTTACAGGGCAGTTAACTGTCATGCTATACTGAACAGGACCAGATTTGATTGCAATTTAACATCCGCTGAGGGCAGGTTATTGCACGTGAGCAGGAATATGGTTCATGCTGACAGTTGCTAATTCATCAGAGAATAGAAATCAAAATTGCTTCTCTTTGGTCTGTTACAACTGAGTTAAAAGTGAAATGGCTTGAACATTTCATGTCTCGTACACAGAGTTCTAAATCTCCACCATCAGACATCACCAGTAACAAGAACTCCAAGCATACCAACTCTGGATACCAACTTTATCTCTGCTCCTTTTCAAGACTACCGTCATTCATACCACTTACCAACTCTGCCGTATGAACTGCAAGGTAAGCTACTTGCAACAGGATGTGTCTTCGTCTGTGGCTTTGATGCTGAGAAATCATGTATTTAAGAAAGAAATAATACCATTTAACCACAACATCATTAGTGATACAATCCTAAATCCACATTCAGAAAGTGCTACAGCTCAATGTTAACTTTATCTCTTTGAATCCCCTCAAACTCATGGAGTAAAATAAAGTCAACAAAAAACATAAAAAATGAGTGTTTCTGATTTGCTTATTCAGGGTTGGTGAGATTCTTTGAAATGTGTTTTTTGATCATCTATCATGTAGGTATCAGACATGCAGTATTATCCTCCTTTCTCCCCTAAAGGGACTGATGAAGCTCATTTCAAGTTCCGAGCATTTGGCTTGACTCACTCCAGTCTAATGTTTAGTATCATGTGAGCCTAAATATTCGTTATGGGCACGCTCTTTGTCAGTGGAGTCATTACAGCAGGCCTGTTTCTGTGTTCTTGCCCGATTTCTGTTTCTGTTCTTACTAATTTCCATTCTGCCCTCAAATGATATGCATCTCCCTTTTTGAAGGAGCTGCTGGACAGATGTGAGGAGTCAGAATCTTGTGTGATCTGTCTTTACTGTTTCCCAAGCTTAGTGGTTCTGTGGTCAGCGATGTAGTCTTTTAAATGCCACCTCTGGCTGAAAGGTAAATTGAGACCAAATTGGTTTCAAATCTGGGACCTTACATGTGTGGCTAATGTAATCCAATCTCTCATTTCATATCAAGTTAAGCAGCGGAGTGTAAACTCTTCAGTAATGAATTGATCATTTTGAAAGCACACATATCTACTCATATAAGTAGCATCATATTTTTCAATATGCTTTTAATGATCACTTTCCATGTTCTAAGACAAGCTTCTTTGTTTGTCACTTGCTTCGTTTAAATTGTAGAAATTGTTAAATTGAACCAGCACAACACATTAACATTGCCAAACCCACCTTTCTTATCCCAATAGCATATTCATAGTCCAGGCACTTAACACTGTCAGGATAAGGTGTTATTAACAGTGTAAACATGGGGAAGCTGTCTCATGGGTATTGCTGTGCAGTGATCCAAGCTAAACAAACAGATGTAAAACCCTGTAGTCACTTGACCTTGTTCCCTGATCTGTTGCGATGTGAATACAAATGAAGCCCAATATCCAGAAGTCTAATTGCACTAAGCTTTGTACCATTATAAAATTTTGAGACATTTGGGACATGTATTTTATCATAATATTTCACTATTCCTTTGTTTGAACAGGTTTAGACCTATTTCCCTTTTTACAAGGAGATAATCAGGTATGTAATATGTCTGTGCACTTTTGCCATTGAAATCTTGATTTCTTTATGTCAAGAATGCATTGGTGGTTTCCATGTGATTGCTCATGTAAAGACCTCATGGATTGTGATGTCAGTGGAAATCGATTTCCTGCCAATGTCAAGTTTTAGAACATAATCTCAAGTAAGTTCAAGAATAGAATACTAACAAGGTGTGGAATAGCAGGTGACAAACATTTTGTTACCAATAGCACTGTCTGATAATTGTCCCAAATACAAGGTGTTTTGTTCCACCATAGGCTGTATGACAGTCAAATCTGAGATATGTACTTAGTGTAATTACAGGCAAGTGAATTACAGGCATGGGGAAGGCAATGGCCTAGTGGTATCTGGTCAGCGAGACCTCATCCCATGAATGAATAAGAAAAAGAAAATAAGAGCTATATTTAAACTTGCTTTCACCTTTTCCATCCTCCCTCCAAACTACAGCTGGGGGTCTGATGTGATTGTCCCCAGTTTGATGAAATGTGCACAGAGTAACTATTGAAACTGGAGCCTTTCTGGTACATACGGTTCAGTGTTGAATCACATTGTGTATTTATCAATTGGACATCATAGAGGCTATCACTTGAAAAGACTACAGTCCATGATAGTTTACTGTAGCTTGCTTTTACATTGATGATTTCTCCCAAACATAAGTTTGAGGTTTAGGGTGCATCATACTTCAATTAAATGCTCCTTCAGGGCGGCACAGTGGTTAGCACTGCTGCCTCACAGTGCCAGGGACTTGGGTTTGATTCCACCTTAGGGTGACTGTCTATGTGGTGTTTGCACATTCTCCTGTCTGTGTGGGTTTCCCCCGGGTGCTCTGATTTCCTCCCACTGACCAAAGATGTGCACAGTAGGTGGATTGGTCATACTAAATTGTACCATAGTATCTAGGAGATGTGCGGGCTAGCTGGATTAGCCATGGTAAAAAGAAAACGTGTGTGGTGGGTCTGGGAGGGCTGCTCTCCGGAGAGTCCGTGCAGACTCGATGGGCCGAATAGCTGCCTCCTGCACTGAAGGGATGTTATATCACGGTATGTCCTGGGACAAGTAATCTAGAGATTTAACCTATTGATCTGGGTAAGGTCAGAAATCGCCACACAAGGTTATAGTCCAACGAGTTTATCTGAAATCACAAGCTTTGGGAGTGCTGTCCCTTTGTCAGGTGAAGTGTGACTTCTGACCTTATCCACCCCAGTCCAACACCGGCATCTCCATGCTATTGATCCAGAGACATTGGTCCAGACCTCACCCCAGTGGCTTAGGAATTTAAATTTAGTTTGTTTAATAAATATGGAATAAAAGCTGATATCAATAATGATGACCATGTAAGTATCAGGTTGTCATTTACTGCTGTCCTTTAGGGAAGAAAACCTACTGTCTGGCCTGTGTGTGCCATCAGGTGCACAAAAAACCACTTGACGCTTTCTTGCCCTCTGAAATGGTCACGCGATCAATCCTCCGTCAAGAAGACAGCTCCCCAGTAGCAATGCTGACCTTGCATATCTCATGAATGACCAAAGGAGAGAAATAATTTAAGAGGTCATTTATCCATTGTCTTAGTGAGGAGAAAGTGTAAGGAACGGATAGCACAAGATGAAGACATCATCTGAACAAGAATTGTAAACCCAGAATAGAATAAGTTTATAAATATCTATGAAGTAACTACCTTCAGAAAAATATTTGGAACTTGACCTGTCTTGTGAGGAATGCAAATACCATTATTGCAAGTTGTATCAAATAGTAGGTTTTGTTGAATGTTTCAGTGCATTAAAGGTTAAGTGTATTTACTTTAACTTTAGGAATGGAAGCTGTTTTATATGCCGATGTAGAGTCTAATAAATGTCAATATTTGAATACTTGCGCATTATAATTAGTCAGAGTGGCTTTGAGACGAAGAATTATAATCTTGCTTAAGCTCTCAAAGCAGTATTAATATACTGATATTAATGTTCATTGCTCTCTTGTTATTGCTACCATAGCATTACAACACCTCCCTCCTTGCTGCTGCTGCTGCAGCAGCCAGTGCTTCAGAGGATCAGGACCTCATTCACTCTTCGCTCAACCGATTCTTCCCTTATGGCTCTTCGCAGATGTTCCTGGAGCAGCCAAACTCTGCACCTGCCAATACACTGGCGGTAACAAACGGCAGCAGCAGTGGAAGTAACAGCAGTCTCGTCTCTTCCAGCAGCTTGCGGGAAAACCTCGGGCATCCTGGGGCTAACAGGAGCAATGTGGAAAGTGGCACCATCTTTGGCACCATGCCAGATGTTATTTCATTGGACTAAGATTTGAAATAATAAGATATAATGTGTTTTTTTTTGTGTGGTTGGGGTGGTGGGGGCAGGGGGTTGGGGCAGAAAGAGGAAAAGAAAATCTGGTTGGTTTCATCTTTTAAAAATAAATTTAGAAGTGTAGAGACCCTTTTTTAAATAAACAAAAAAATTTTAAAAAGACATCATGTACAGAGAACAAAATACTATATTTTCAGTTAACTTTTGTATATAAATTCGAACTGTCTGTCTTTTAAGGTTATTTCAGTTCACTTTGTGAAAGCAGAGTTTTTACGATGTATTTGTCTGTTCTGTGATATTACTTTTTTGTATTTGTTGTTCGATGGCATTATTTCCTTCGCAGTTGTCATTATTTCAATTAGGAATTTTCCATTCATGTACTTCATTGTAGAATATTCTTTCTTTCAGAAAGAACTGCGATGTCAATGGTTGACAACAATAGTATTTTCTTTTTTGTGCAAAATAATTTTATTATACTTTTTAAGTTATGTAAAGAATCTCAACTGTTTCCCATATCATTCCCTCTGCATTTGCAGGAAGTAGCTTTGGAGAATGCACAGTATCGTACAATTTTTCCACACAAAAAAAAGGCCATTTCTGTTTTTTTTAAATTGGTGTTAAGCTATCTCCTCTCAATTTTGATTTGTGTTTCATATTACAAAGTAGCATTTTTCAAGCATTAAGGAATTTTTAAATTAATAACAGAGGAGTGAGTTCTGTCACACCTTTCATACTTCAGAGAGTCAGAAATTAATTTCACTTTCAATGTTACATGAAAAGCTCTAATTGCAGAATATCTCCACAGCTTGTGTATTTTTATTTTAGTTATTTTCCCATTGTGCATATAGTACTGTCCGTTAAGCAGTGTTTTAAGTTTTATAACCAGCCTTCCAGGGAGATACCAGCTTCAATGTGCACATATCTGATGTCCCATGACATAAACCATCTACTTCTACATGATATACTCCCAGCTGAAATGGGACTGACAGAATTCGGAGAATCATGGGCATGTTATTGACTTATCAGTTAATCATACTGTCCCTTACATGACCTTTTGTTTTAATTCATGTTCCATTAATTTGATGATGCTTAATCAGTGCTCTGAGATCTTTGTCATGTGTGACAGCCCCAACTGGTTGTTTTCCAAGGTGAATTCAATTTCCCCTCTCATAATGCATTCAATGGCTTGAATACAAAGAGCAGGATTGGCAGGCAAATATCTGGAATGTTATTAGCTAAAAAAACCCATCGTTTTAATAATCTGTATCTTTATCATACACCTCCACTGTTATGTTACGTATTGATTCAGTTAGTTCACTGGAGAAATGACTTGTTTTTGTATGCTGTGTTCTACTTAGAATTATGTTGGAAAGACACCATCTGATACAGGACCCACCAGTGTAACTTCAAGTTATACAAATCAAGAAGTTCCAAGTTAAGTTTCAAGCCTGTGTTGTTAGTGGATCCAAGCTTGGCATAGTGGGGCACTGTAATTGACACCTCTTTGAGTTGAAGTTATAGTTAGTTGGGGTTTCTGCTCCTAATTACTGATTAGTGACCTTGCTTAAAATACATGTAGGTATAGAATCAGGACAGCTTCAGATTTGTCTATGTTTTGTGACCTTGTACACCCCTACAGTTGAAATGTCCTTTGGACACACTCTGTAGACATGAGGAATGGTTAATAATGACCATTTAAATAAGGACTTGGAAAGTGATCTATCCAATGAAACCATACACCAGCAACAAGAGAACACGTTTCAGAGATGAGAAAATGGAACAAGTTATAACCAAAGAATGCAAATGAATGAAACTTGAGTAATAGAAGTACAATTGGCTGAGGTAGGGGGAGAAGTTGATTTTTGTCAATTGAAGATTATGTAAGCTGATCTGTAGTACTGTCCAAAGGATCAATTGTTTAGCCACTTAGTGAAAATGATTCAGTGAGGAATATGCAAGGGAGTTGTATCTGGTTTATAAAAATGTGTTACAATACATGCATCAGGTCTGCTGTAGCAATGAATGGGCTTGATGTTGAAACAGTGGGCAGATGCTTTATGCTCTAATTAGCATTTATTTCTAGCATTCTCCTTGGTTCACCAATTCCAGTTTTAATGGGGCTGAATACAGTGGATTTGGTTCATTGGAATCCAATACTTGGATGTAATTTGGTTACGGGCCTGTCTTACGTAGTTGGATCTTTCAGGTCATGTGCTGCATTTTGGCAAGTGAAAGGAATTTTTATAGGAGAAAAACTAGCTTGTATGCAGCGTTATTTACTTGACACTTATTTTGGAATTATCCAGGAGTGTGCCATGTTGAGAGTCTATTTATACTGGAAATATCACTGTAAGTAGAACTCTCACAAGCATGAAACTCCACCTCTTCAGTGAATTTGTAAGTCCTGTAATCCGTTCTCTCCGAAGGTGTCAAAGACAGCTCTAATACTTCTACTGCCTTAAATCTTTCACAGTGCTGGTTTCCATGACCGCATGCCAAACCAGAGAAATGGCCTTTTTTTTTATAATTGAGTATAGTAAACCAGTGTTGGTTTGTATAAAGTACCACGTGAAAATATTTATTTCATGCATTGAAAGCAATTGTTTACCTAATGAATGTTACCTGTTAATGTAGAGATCTTTTAGATGTAATAAAACAGCAAAAACATCCCAGCAACAGAATTGGTTATTCTCCTTTTCAACTTCCACTTGTGTTGTTTACTTTGTAAGCTTTTTGGAAGTTTTTCTGTTAATGAAGCAAATATTGAGATTGTGTGTTTCTTTGGTCCAGGTATACCGTCCCTTCCCTTGGGTTAAAAAAAAACACAAATAGGAAAGACAGTTATTTCTGGTCATATTACCCACCGGATATAGTACCATGCCATTTTTACTTCAGGTACAGAAGAATCAACATTGGAGCATTACTCACCACATTACTGACATTAATGGTCCAGGGAAGGCTTGTTGAGGTGTTCTGAAAAGGAAGTTGAGTCATCTTGGGCTGACGTCACAGGTTTATTGTGTGCAGTATGCTAACAAATCCAGCAGGCCAAGCAGCATCAGAGGAGCAGGAAAGCTGACCTTTCGGGCCTAGACCCTTCAGAAATTTCTGCTTTCCTGCTCCTCTGATGCTGCTTGGCCTGCTGTGTTCATCCAGCTCTACAACTTGTTATCTCCAATTCTCCAGCATCTGCAGTTCCTACTATCTCCTAAGCTAACAAATCCGCTGTGGTGTTCTGAAGAAGAGTACTTGGAGTCGAAATATTGACTCAATTTCTGGCTCCACAGATGCTGCCAGATCTGCTGAGTTTGTCCAGCACTTTGTTTCTAATCAGTTAGATTTTTAGTTGATTGGGGCTTTTAGGCATATGGAAATCAGTGCCCAAGATATTATCTTGCATCTTTCTGTAACTGACAGAGAAATTTTACATCTGCACCAATGTGCTGTCTTGATACTTTATCTTTGCCAAATTCTGCCTTCAACATAGATATTGCACTTAGGTATCTTTCCAGTCCTAATAGGAAATATTTTATGTGGTACTGTTGATTTTCCCACAAAATTATATTAAACACTCTAATTCAGTTGTAAAGTTGCTTCATTACGGGGAACGGATATTTTGCTTATGGGGTAGTGTATCAACTTGTGTTCTTGAGCAACCCACTAATCTGATAAATGTATGCAAACACTATTATAAGTCCATTAAAGGGCTTTCACATAATGAGCAGATTTCTTTTAAAATCTTCAGTTTTGCTACTCAGCTGAAGGCCTGGCACTTTTCGTTGCAGCTGCCAAGAGTTTGGACTGCATGTGTTTGATGTCCATCTGCATGTGACAT